TACCAACTAAGACCATTTTGAAGACTCTTGATCTATAATATTTTGATCAAATGATTCATCTACTATGATTAGGTCGAAACCGCTAGTCTTTTGGTAGCACCAAATTTTGTATTATTAAATTATATTAAAATTACATTATAACAACAACAACAACATCAAGCATTTATACCACTACGTGGGGTCGGCTACATGAATCCTTTTTCTCCATTGTGTCCTATGAAAGGTCAAATTCTCGTTTAAATCTAATAAAGAAAGGTCATTCCTAATATTTTCTAACCAGGTCTTTTTAGGTCTGTCTCTACCTTTCATAACATAAGTCAAATCTAATACCTCTACTCTCTTAACCGGGTCATTGGAAGGCCGCCGTTTTATGTGACTAAACCATCTAAGGCGACTCTCTCTAATCTTATCTTCTACTGGAGCTACTCCAAACTTTTCACGTATATGCTCATTTTGTATCCTATCTCTAAGGGTAAAGCCACTCATCCACCTGAGCATCCTCATCTCTGCCACACTTAACTTAATATTATGCTTCTCTTTTAATGACCAACATTCAGTACCATAAAGCATTGCAGGCCTCACTACTCTTATAGAATTTTCCCTTAAGTTTGTGGGGTACTTTTCTATCACACAATAAGCCCAATGCATTCCACCACTTCAACCATCCAACTTTAATTCTGCTGATAATATCTCCATCTATTTCACCATCACTCTGAACAATAGATCCAAAATATTTAAAACGTGTACTCTTATTAATGACTTGATCGCCCAAAGTCACAATTCCCTCACTAGGTCTATTACTACTAAAATTACACTTCATATATTCCGTTTTAGATCTACTCAAGCGAGAACCTTTAGTCTTTGATGTTGACCTCCATAATTCAAGTTTACTTTCAACTCCCTCTCAAGTCTTATCAACAAGAAGAATATCATCAGCCCATAGTTTTAAAGTATGACACATTAACTTAATACCTTTGTAATTCGCACAATCTTGTGCATCACCTTTATTCTTAAAAATATGAATTAACACACTCATTCTCCACTCATCTGGCATCTTTTTAGTCTTTAAAATAGTATTAAAAAGTTTAGTAAGCCAAGAAATACCTTCATCCCCTAAGCATTTCCACACCTCTATTGGAATATCATCAGGTCCAACAGCTTTTCCACCCTTCATTTTTTTAAAAGTCTCTCTAACTTCGATTTTACTAATACGCCGATGAAAACATAAATCTTTATTTTCATTTAGGGATATTAAAATTACATTGCTACCCAAAAAAAAAAAAAGAAATTACAGTTAGTCTAAATGTTATTGAGATGTTGAAATCATACTTTTAATAACTTAAAAGACTTCTGACCTGGTTATCTAATCATGTAGTGGAAGTATTGAACTATTGGAACCACACTGCACTTCTACTATCCACTCCTATCTCTTTTTCCATAAGGTTGTCAACTAGTCCAAATATCCAAGACTTGAAGGTTGACAATTGTTCTTTATTAATTGGGTAGAGCGGATTAATGACACATAGATCCATGAGCTTGATATCTCTTCCCTGATAGATAATGTGGAAATTTTTTAAGTACTTCTTATCCTTTTGCGCCCTTCTTTTAAACTTTACATATTGTGCATCACTCCTTTATATAATTGTAACAGAAGAATTGATTTCAATTGTCTTCTTCACCTCCTCATATATACATGCAATGGAAAGAGCTTGATCCCCTAACTTCTCCACCTCCTTATTTATACAAACAATGACAAGGGCTTGTCCCCAAAGTCCTCTTCCTCATCATATGCATCCTTCTTATATGCTCTTCAACTTTTCATCAAAAAAGAACTCTCCAAAACTCAGCTTAGTCAAACAGCAATCCCAAAAGCTATGTTCTTCCATCCAATATTGATCACAATATAGTACTCGTTATTCTTATCATCACTAATAATTCTTAGTACTAATTTATGAATGAAGACACTAGATAATTGCATTTTAGTAGCTCTAAAAATGTGCCTTAAGGGGTATCTCTCAACCAGGATAATATGTCATTAATCTCAAATTGTCTAACCACTTTCTCTATGACACTCAGTATTATATGTGACCTGAGCACTATAATACCTCTTAACTGGTGGGATTAATCAATTAAAGCATACGCATACATTTCAAGATAGCTTAAATGAGTTAATCCCAAATGACATAGAACGGGAAAAAATATCTTCAAAATACCATCAATAATGATTGAACCATTTTGAATCATGCTTGGATAAAGGTTGAATAAGATCAGAACATAATCAAACCATCTTCGACCAATCTTTGAGGAGTCTTTGTACCATCTTCAACCAATGATTGAGCAAATCTTCTGACTATCTTTGACACATATTCAAACATTCTCAAACCATCTTTGTTGCATAATTGAACCTTCTTCAAATCATGTCCTCACTGGTCACTATCAAGGAATAGTCGAAGAAGAGCCGAATAAGATTCAAAGGAGGGTTCAAGACATTATAAAGACTCATAAAAAATGGGTTGATCATTTCACAAAATTAAGTGAACACTATTCGATTAATATTAGACCATGGCTCTAAGATAATTCAAATTATTGCATCATGATTTAATCATGTCTTAAGATGAATATGGTTGTCAGATGGTGCTAACATAATAAATTCCTAGAAGGTAAGCTAAAGTCTTGCAGTGAAAGGTTTTAGGGTTTATAGTATAATAGAGAAATCAGTAAACCAGTTAAATTACTAAAGCAATCATCATATCGATATAATAATTAGTAGAGAAATCGTATAAAGCATCAAATCAAAATATCGGTGTATAAAGCATCAAATCAAAATATCGGTAAAGACAATCAAAATCATATCAATGCAGTAAAATCATATAAAAATAATTGTATCCGTGTATCACATGCTCAAAAAGATCATATCAGTGTTAAGTCAGTGTTAGTGCCTAATGTACATACTCAATTTATATCACATGATCAACATATTAATAATAATAGAATAGTAGTAACATCAGCATCATGGGTGGCAGTAACAGTAAAGTCATATAGTGATGGTGATTCAGTAGCATACATTCTAATAATCATATTAAACAAGTAAATGTCCTTGTTATAACAATATTTTTTTAGTATCAATATCAGTATTCATAACTCGTTGGCTCAGTAAATAGAGTCGTCAATCTTTACCTGTCGGTACAGTAATAACTCTTTATAACTCTCAATCATTGTATCACGTGAATCAATAAAGGATAACGCCCAACCATAGTATTTAAAGGAAAACTCGTCGGCCATCATCCTATATATATCAATCAGTCTCCAATTATCCTCAATGAATAACCAGTCTTTAATTATTTTTCATACACATCATTATCACAGTATTTCAACAGTAATAGAAACCAACTATTACTCAATCGCATAACCACATTCATTTTCAATACATTACAAAAATATTATATATATATATATATATATATATAATCGTGTCAGATTCAAAAAATATCAAAATGTTCTAACGGTAGTCAACAAAAAGCTGTGTTGAGTAAAATTTCATATTTTTAAAAATTAACCAAATCACCAAAGATCGCATATAATAACATTCTTAAGCTTTAATTGAACAAAAATATTATTTTTATGTGTCAAAATAAATTTTTGAATGGACAAAAATCATTGTATTTTCAAAATTACCCAACAAAAATTCTCAAATAAATACTTAAAACATTTATAATCTCAATCTCTATAACATATAAAAAGTTACGCGATAAAATTTTTAACAATACAAAATTATTCTCATTTTTTGATAAAAGAAACATAAATTTGATTGAAAAAATATAAAATACACAATATTATTAAAATCAGAAATAGGATAATGGTTCTTTACAATGAGACGAGTAAATCTCCCAACAGAAACGAAAGACGAGCAATAGTATTTAGAAAATTCTGATGAAATTGATTTGCAAAACGGATACTTAATTAACGGTCTCACAATCCCTACTTGTACTAATAAGTGTCAATTTCTTAAATATTTGTACCAGTGTCCAAAACTTATGAAAAAATTATTGCAATTAAAACACTATAATATCTATATTATGATAAAGAAGATTTATAATTTGGACTTATAATGACTCCAAAAAAAATTATTTGATTAGATCAAAATATGGGCTGTTACATCCAACACGATAGTTCTATCAGTTCGCAAAGCTGATTATTTATCCTTAGCTTTATTTTTAAGCAATTAACTAACTATTCGTCTTTAAGATAAAATTAGTTTTAAATATTTATTATTTATTTTTGAATAGCTTTTGGTCAAAATTCAAACCTTTTTTTGAATCAAAGTACACCACCATTAAAGAACCTTTTCTTCCTATCTTTTACCACATACTTGAATGCACTTATTCTCACTAGCTTCCAACGATTTCACTCCGGTACTCAGCACTCCAAAAAAAACAAAAGAGAGGAATAAAAAAAAAAGCTTTTCATATGACTACTGAGCATATTATCATGGAGGAATTACTACTTGTGGAGTCCGAATGTAAAGTTAAGTTCGGACTGTGAGTGTACACATTATGTATACACTATGTATAAATATACACTATATACTTTTATACACAATATGTACACACTGTATATTTTTATACACAATATGTATGCACTGTATATACTCACAATTCGAACATAACCCTACGTCCAAACTCTGCACAAAATACTCTCTCCTTATCATGAGGTGAGACTCTGGCAACATAAAAAAAGAAAGCTAAAAGCAGTATCTTTTGTCATAATTTATAATCAAATATTATTTAAAAATATCGCTAAGCATTATATATATATATATATATATACAGTCTTTTTCAACGAAGAACATTAATGATGTAATGGAAGGTACCAATTCTTCTTTCAGTAACTTCCACAAAGCATTAAAGCTAGCCAACTGAGTAAGAGAAGAACTTAGCCATGAAAAAGAAAAGAGATTCTGCTTTCTGCTATATGTATATATATGAGGGGTTAATATAACATATAAGGTAGACTCTTGCCAATCTAAGTGATCGAGTGAAATAATAAGCGAGAACTTGTTCACTTTTCACTCTTCTGAGCTTGTAGATCAGCCATAATGAGTAGAGATCCATTGGTCCTTGAGAGAGTGATTGGTGATGTTTTGGATCCCTTCACAGGAACCACAACCCTCAGGGTTACTTATGGCTCCTTTATGGTCAATAATGGGAAGGACTTCAAACCATCTCAAGTGGTTAACCAACCTAGGGTTGAGATCGGTGGAAATGATCTTAGAAGCTTTCATACCTTGGTAAGAATATTGATTTAGGTTTCGTTTGAGACGGCTTGTTTAATGCTTCTTAAAGTGACTTTTTAGTAAAATAAATAAATTTTGCACTAAAAAGATGCTTTAAGAAGCAGTAAAAAAGATGTCCCAAACGAAGCCTTAATTTCATATAATCTGTTTAATTTATCTAATATTATTGAGATATGAGAATCTTGGATTTAGAAATTCTGATTATTGACTCTCATGCATATGCTTATGTATTTGGGTTGAAGTTGATCATGCTTAACTACTAAAATACCTGGTCTAAGCTGACTCGTAGTTGATATATGTTCCATAAAACTTTATGGTGACTTTAGAGAATTAGTTATAAATATTATTGACTCATTAAATCAATATAATTTTTTACGACTGTCATGATCATGTGTCTATGACATATGAAAGAATGATACTAAAAAGTTGTTTTAAAAAGCAGTAAGAATATCTCTATTTGCATTTGGCTAATGAATCCTGGAGATGTCATTTACTCAATGATTACTTGTTATATTTACTGTGTTGTCTGAATTATATAAATTTCTACCTAATATTTAATTTATATTGCAGATTATGGTAGATCCTGATGCTCCATCTCCAAGTGATCCAAGCCTAAAGGAATATCTTCACTGGTAATCAGATAAAAGGCACCTCTTTACTTAACAATATTCTTTCCTTAAAAATATAAACAATAATAATTAAAAAAGGCATTGCACCTTGTATAATGAATCTATCCAGTAAGTAGCTTTGATGACTTCAAGTGATGAGTTCACTGAATGAGTTTATGATCTTTAGTGAATTCAAGTCTGAGATGAGATCATGATCTTTGATGGCATCAATAGTTTCAAACTCTCTAACAACTTCAAGTATGGAATAAGTTTATGTTCTCTGATTACTTCAAGTCTGCGACAAGTTTGATGTATTTGGCAACTTCAAGTCTAAGATGAGTTCATGCTCTCTACCAATTTCAAATCTGAGCTAAGCTCAGGGTCTTTGATGACCTCATATTCGAGATGAATTCATGATCTTTGACGACTTGAAGTCCTAAGGGAATTTTCAATCGAAAAACTCATTTTCACTCCAAAATGCATTAATTCATCTTCAATCGAACTCTATTTAATTCGAGATGAATTCATGATCTTTGATGACTTGAAGTCTTATGGGCATCTACAACCTAAAAACCCATTTTCCACTCTAATATGTAGTAATTCATCTCCAATCGAAATCCATTTCTTTCTCTTTTTTCATGTGCTTCTTCATCTCACTGTGAAGGTAACCATCTTTCTCATCTTTCGCGAGCTTCTTCAGCAAATCCCGTATGACAAAAAATTGGCGTAGGTGAATAGTCACACTATCGACCTGCCAAATTTTGACTTGCGATTTAGCGTTTGAATGAAGTTAATGATGAATTGTACACCACCGTATACAGTTCGGTTGGAGATGATCTAAATAAACTCCGGCTATCCAATAACGTCAAATATGGCACAAGTTCATGATCTCTAACAAGTACAATTCTGAGACATACTCAGGAATCTCATTCTTTCTAACTTGACTAACATATCCCATTGATAATGGATGCGCATATACTTGAACGGACTTGAAAGACATATTCATTAGATAAAATTTAGATATTTCAACAATGTGATACTCACTCTTTTTTCCATGTCATAGGTTGGTCACTGACATTCCCGGAACCACCACTGCAAACTTCGGTTAGTATAGAAAGAATCTTTCTTTTCTCTTTCTATCTCTATCTCTATTTATTCCTCCATCCAAATAATAATAATTTAAATGAAAATATCTCTTTTGTGACAGAGTTCTTATTACTGTACTTTTCAAATGGTAATTATATTTTTTATATGGTTACTGTTTTTTCGCGCTTTTAATCAAATTATATACTCAAAAACTATTTTCTACATCAGTTTTAAAAAATTATTTTCGCTACAATAACTTTACTAAATAATAAGAAAGTTATCCGAAATTAAAATTTTTGTACTAGAAAGTTACGTTAAGAAATAAGAAAGCCGTCTCAAATGAAACTTTAATTAATTAGAATAAATTTTATAATTATTAAATTGTTAATCCACCTCTTTTAAAACAAATCAAATATTCTAAAACTCATTGAGATTAAGACGTCATTAGGGACGGCTTTTTTACTACTTCCTAATGGAGCTTTTTTAAATAAAAAATTAAAAATTTTATATTAAAAAAACTACTTTAAAAAGCAGTAAGAAAGTCATCCCAAATAAAATCTAAATCTGAATCAAAATATTTTTACATAAAATATATATATATATATTTCTCCATCTATTTTATATTGTTAATTATATTATAGGGGATGAGATGCTGTGCTATGAGGGCCCGAGGCCAAGTTGTGGAATCCATAGGTATGTGTTTATCCTGTTCGAACAGATAGGGAGGAAAACAGTGTATTGCCCACCTTGGAGACAGAACTTCAACACCAGAGAATTTGCAGAGAAATATAACCTCGGCTCGCCTGTTGCTGCTCTCTACTTCAATTGCCAGAGGGAATCCGGCTGGGGTGGCAGGAAACTCTACCTGTAGCGAGAGATTATTGGGTTCGGATATTGGATATAAGTTATCATTCGGTACTTCACAGTATTACTCGTTACTGTTAAGTACTAAGTTCGGTACTTCACGGTACTGAATAGTATCAAGCTTAATATTGTTCGATGCTGTGGAGTACCGAGCTCATACAGAGCTCAGTATCAAATAGGGGGTGATGTGGTGTATTTTCATTAGGTTCCAGACGTCATTCGGTGTCCGAACAGAATAATTTCACACCTGTAGCTCTCTACCTCTTCTTCTTTTATATGTATAATGTAATAACTAGCGGGGAATATTTCTCTGACTTTGTGGAAATGATGGTACGAGACAGGATGGTATTGTTGGAAATATTTTATAAATTAGCTTTAGCTGCCTCTGCAAAGTCTAGGAGATTCATATAGATTTCATGAGAAAATTAAGCTCAATTTGTTTGTGATTTTTTTAAAAGAGAATTTTTATATTTACTTATATAATACTTAATTTTTAAATTAAAGTAAAAGTAGTAATAATATTAAGTTATTTAAAATAAAATATATATTTTTAGTGTATATGTTTTGATTTGATTTAGATTTACAATGATATATAAATAAATACGAAAGATTTATGTGTAAGAATTTTATGATATGTTTGAAAATTTTTTTAAAAAAAATTAAAAATTAATACGCTCAAATTCTTACATTATATTATCAATTTAGAAAGCTTCCGTGTTGGACTCAAAAAGTAATGACGTATATATATATAGAGAGAGAGAGAGAGAGAGAGAGAGAGAGAGAGAGAGAGAGAGAGAGTACAAATTTAAAAGCTCGAGTAGAAATCTGCAGAATTTATTTAAGATTTCAGAATCTTCACTTTCAGCAGAAGAAATCTGAGTAAGTTCTATGGAACACAATAGCAAAATTCCCACAACTGAGCTGTGGGAACTTAAATTCTGGTGTTCATATGAGGGCAAGCTCCTTGAAATAATGTTCAAATTCATGTATTGTGATCACAAACAACCATACAGGGATTTTGTTTTTTTCAAATACACCATTGGAATTAAAATACATGCATTCTAATGCAAAATATGGCTTGAGAGAGGCCAAAAATCAAAATATGTAGCAGGAAGTACATTTAAAAGGCAACAGAATTGGTTAAAACCTGTAGCTTATTCTTAAAAGATTACAACCTCTGGTTCTTTAAATTCAATCTCCCTTCCTGTACCTTCTAGTTTATTCAATCCTGCAGCTAATGATTATCCAGAAGAAAAAAAAAAATCAAACTATGTGACAAAGGATGAATTATTCTGTGCGGATGCCGAACGCCGTCTAGAGCCCAATGAAAATACGCCACATCACCCCTACTCGGTACCGCTCGGTACCGAGCTTGGTATTGAGCTCGGTACTGGATGATGTGGCTGCACCTGATTGACCTCTGGATGGTAAGCTATATCCGATGTCCGCACAAAATAATATCTCCTGACAAAAACATCATGCGAAACAGAAACCATGGTGCTCAATCAAAAGGACATCCTGCCAGAGCAAGTTAAGGATTTATTACAACTTTGATTTTCCTGGAAGTCTTGCCCTCAGATCTTCTGAAACTGCATTGATAAATTCTTCGGTGTTCATGTAGTGATCTCGGGTGAGCCTGCAAAGGATAAGAATAAATACAAACATTTCATTAATTCATGTTCTGTAAATTTGATGATGAAGTTCATAAAAAAAAAATTACGATTTTAAGAACAGGGATGAGAAGTACTTTGATCCATGAATGATAAGAGCGAGATCCTTAGTCATTTTGCCAGATTCAACAGTTCCAATACAAGCTGCTTCCAGCTTTTCAGTATAGTCAAGTAGTCTTAGATTACCATCTAGCTTTGCCCTGTAGATGATTAGTTCTATTTATTTTTGGAACTTACATTTTACAAAAAAGTTTAAGCCAAACCAAATTAATAATGAAGCCAGATTTCTTTTTTTTCTGAAATTTGAGTGATCAGGTAAGAGTGTTTAGCATATAATATGGTAGCAATTTGATGGCTAAAACAATAGTGAACCTCAAAGAAATACACAAACTTGAACATAGAAGTAAAAATATTCTCCATACCTATGAGCAAGCCCACGAGTCCAGGCAAAGATAGAAGCAATGCTGTTCGTGCTAGTTTCACCACCTGTCTGGTGGACTCGGAAATGTCGTGTAACTGTCCCATGAGCTGCTTCAGCTTCAATAGTTTTTCCATCAGGGCAGACCTGGATAAGATGAAAAAGCATGAACATGGGACGTCTTAAAGCTAGAGTTTGCTAGTATAAATTTACAATGAAATAAACAAATATCATGCAAACTACTCGAATTCTCAATCACAAACTTCTGCTTTAGACAATTAACTACAACAACAACAACATCAAGCCTTTGTCCCACTACGTGGAGTCGGCTACATGAATCCTTTTTCGTCATTGTGCCCTGTTAAAAGTCAAATTCTCATTTAAATCTAATAAAGAAAGATCATTTCTAATATTTTCTAACCAATTCTTTTTAGGTATACCTCTACCTTTCTTAACATAAGTCATATCTAATACCTCAACTTTCCTAATTGGGTCATCGGAAGGCCTCCGTTTAATGTGACCAAATCATCTAAGGCGACTCTCTCTAACCTTATCTTCCAGTTGAGCTACTATTACCTAAAATAAAAACCGGAAAGCAAAGAGAAGATAATTCAATAGCCTTCTACTATAATTAATGAATAAAATATGAAAACATAAAAGCCATACAATCAATTGAAAATCACTCCACTATAGAAATCCAACGTGTATCAAGTTTAAATAAAATCAATGAAGCGTTCAAACCAATAACAAGGTTTTAGTGGGTAGAAAAGTAGAGGGAAATCACCAAATCCAATATCTTGCTAATACAAGGAGATAACCTTACTTAGAACGCCTCAACCTCTCACTTATCTAGGAGAGAACTAAAAGGAATTGCACATCCAACTCCAAATTATTCATAAACACATGAGTTTTTTTTTTTTTTGCCTAATACTCTCTTTTAAAATAATAAATTCAACTTAAATTTTACCTACAACAAGTATCATCATGATTGAGTAGCTTGTCAATCATGCCTTCCGCATTCAGTCATGTCTTTCAAACCTAGTCGTGCTTTATGCATTCATAGAAATTTTTAGTCAATGTTGTAATGATATGTGATATGTAGCTATTGTGACATTGATTATTGATGCATAAACTAATTACTCTTGAAATGAAACTTGTGATATTAAAACTTATTTTACTTGTGCATTATCTTTGTTAATGTGAAACAAAGCATATTCATACAAATTAAATTATGTTTATATGAAATAAGCTTAGACCATACTTATCATGGAAGATTGTTATAACACTTGCTAATCACATAATATATGAACATGAAGGCATGTGCGATGGATGAAAATGTTGGTAGTATCCTCTTAGTAATGACTAGTTAACTAGGCTGACAGATCTATAAAATGATGACTCTCTTAAGGTCATTGGACTCCACCATGTCAGTGAAAACTTTCCTCTTATTCAAGGTATCTTGAGAGACTGATCAGGTATTAAAAAAACCTATAATAAATGGATGGTGAGCCATTTTTGGATATGTAGGAATATGCCAAATGTGGTGCACATGGAAGAGCTAGCATGTAAATGCAAAGATTATTGTTCTTTTCATATGAAGACAATGACACCAGTCTACGAGAACTCATCATATAATAATTGATATTTTATCATTCATGCCATGCAATATAATTTTAAAATGATGCTATGATGACAATGTTATATTGATATTACCTTGTAAATTGTGCCTCTTTCATTGTTCATATAGCATGTCCCATTCATATCTTTTATGCTTGAATAAATAGAAAATTATCTAATGAGTTTGCATGGCAACTCACTTATGTTTATTTCTTCTCTTTACAAATCCTATCAAATTGATTAGTGGACCATCACTACATAAGCCGGTTTTTCAGCAAAAGTTATTTCATAGATTCAATATTTGTCTTAGTTATAGTTCTTTTTTTAGACTTACGTTGGGTTATAGCTTACTCATTCTAGTTGTAATTAATTCATTTCCTTTCTATTAGTTGACATTTTAATTTTCCTTGAAGAAAAACTATTAAAGATTTTATCAATTCAATAAAATTTCATTTCATATCCATGATTTGCATATGTTTATATCTAAATCATTTTTTATTGAATACAAAACTATTTTATCTAAGATTAGCACTTAAGATTTATCTTGTGAGTTGAGATTTAGTTTGTTCATCATATCCTGTATTGATGGGTATATGGGCTTCTGAACCTAAGATATGACAGGAAATACTCAAAGACTCATAAAAAATGCTACAAGCCTCATGGCTATAAAAAAATGTTGTTAACCATCAATTTGCCTATCCTAAAAAAATTTGGCTTTGATGAATTGTTCAATTGATATTTGTCAAGCTAAAATGGCATAATTGCTGCACCTCCAATAGTGAATCATCTTTCCACTTTATAAGATATATTTGCTAAGATGCGCCTGAATGCAGTGTCTGACACGTATCGGACACCACAAGCATCTGACACACCTCTGACATGACAAGCATCCAACACACCTCTGACATGAAAAATGTCCGACACACCTCTGACATGTGTCAAACATGTCGAAAACTTATTTGATTAAAAAATATTAAAAATAAATTGGATACATGTATTTAAAATATTTAATAAAATTTATTAAATTATAATTTATTGTATCTCAATTTCTATCATTCATGCCATGCAATATAATTTTAATATGATGCTATGATGACAATGTTGTATTGATATTACCTTGTAAATTGTGCCTCTTTCATTGTTTATATTGCATGCCCTATTCATATCTTTTATACTTGAATAAATAGAAAATTATCTACTGAATTTGCATGGCAACTCACTTGTGGTTAATTCTTCTCTTTACAATCCTATCAAATTGATTGGTGGACCATCACTACATAAGCAAATTCTTCAGCAATAGTTATTTCATAGATTCAATATTTGTCTTAGTTATAGTCTTTGTTTAGACTTATGTTGGGTTATAGCTTACTCATTGTAGTTGTAATTGATTCATTTCCTTTCTATTAGTTGACATTTTAATTTCCCTTGAAGAAAAACTATTAAAGATTTTATCAATTCAAAAAAATTTCATTTCATATCCATGATATACATATGTTTATATCTAAACCATTTTTTATTGGATACAAAACTATTTTATCTAAGATTAGAACTTAAGATTTATCTTGTCAGTTGAGATTTAGTTCGTTCATCATATCCTGTATTGATGGGCATATCGTCTTCCGGACCTAAGATATGACAAGAAACACTCAAAGGTTGTCGTCAAAATTGCTACAAGCCTCAAGAATAATAAGTTTCCCAAAACCCGGCCATAAAAGAATGTTGTTACCTATCAATTTGCCTATCCTAAAAAAATTTGGCTTTGATGAATTGTTCAATTGATATTTGTCAAGCAATTGCATAATTGCCGCACCTCCAATAGTGAATCATCTTTCCACTTGTAAGATATATTTGCTATGATGCATCGAAATGCAGTGTCTGACACGTATCGGACACCACAAGCGTCTGGCACACCTCTGACATGACAAGTGTCCAACACATTTCTGACATGTGTCAAACATGCCGAAAACTTATTTGTATCTAAAGCACAAAATCAATTGTTCGCACTCAATACCCCATTCCCTGAACATTTTCATTTTCATTTCTCTCAGATAGGTTGCAACTAGGGTTTCATAACAACACGGTGTCATCTCAATATCAACATTCAATATCGTCACAACATCAGTATTTCAAAACTATCTCAATATCAAAGTATGATGTTGTGTTGACATTGACACTCAACCCCACCAATTTCTACACCCTCAATTACACCCCTATGTCATCGCAGCATCTCAACTTTATCCAATGTTATCTCAAGATCCATGACTGATGCTCATTACACAACAACAACGTCCGACTGTTGAGGACAATATCGTCTCTCCTCTTGATGCCTAACATGGCATCCACATCCGACTCTCAACATCTGAATATTAATTATTTTAAGCACAAATCATAGTTAAATTACTTTATTTCACAATTATTTTCAATATTTTACTTATTCAATTTTTATACACTATTTTTAAGATATAAAATTATAATATTGTGTCCAACTTGTCTTGTGTCATATAATTTCAATAATTGATATGTCCCATGTCATGCTTGTGTCACTATGTATGTGCATCATAGTATCTTTGGTATCCACCATTGATAGTGAACATGATTTTATCTCCAATAATAACTTAAAAGAATAAAATTATTATGTAGTTTGTATGTTGCAAACAATATGTTTATGAGGAAAGGGCACTTCAAAAAGCTGTTTGTATCGGACGTGTGTCGGGCATGTTATACCTCTAACACAACTTGACATGTCTATTATACTAAAAATTGTAAGATTTGTTTCCTTTTTTACTTGATTAGAGTGAGCATTGCTAGAACATGATTCGACACATCTGAGACACATGTCCACATGAACAAGACACATAAGAGTTATTTCTAGTTAAGTAAATTTTTTGTTTATATTTTATATGGCTTTTTGGCATTTTGTGCAAACTATACAATAGTGATATTTATAAGATCATGTATGATGATTAATACTAATGTTGGTGTGTTGCTGATTAAGTACACTTGATGAAATATTAAAATATAACTTTTTATCCTTAAGCTTTTAATATGACACATGATATCATCTTAATTGTATGATGTCTATAAATAGAAAATTATCATTTTATTTTTAATTACACATTTTACATTAATAAATTATAAAAAAAATATTATGTGCAAGGAGTTTCAGGTTTAACTTTTTATGGTTATATCATGTTTGCGTCATATCGTGCTTATATCTCATGCCAATGTGCATGCTTCATAATGAGGTGTTGGATGTGAATCCCAAAGGAGAAGACAATGAGAGAAGAATCTAAGACATTGATTGATGACGCATGTCATAAAGTCAAAACAAAAGCATTAAAAGTAGAATTGATGCAAGATTTTTTAAGATTTTAAACTTAGAAGCACTCATTCTGATTCCTAGTATAATGCCATGTAGTCTTATTTTTTCTAGTAGTTATTTCTTGAGGATTCTTATAGGAAACTTTTCAAAGCTTTAAATAAATCATTGTCTTATCAATTGTTTTGAATTTCACATATCTCCAATTTACAAATGCAGAGGATTTATAATTGCCTCCATTAATAATAAGTTTCATGTGAATATCATATGCAAATAATATATATAACTATTGGATGATATAGTATAATATAATTTATGTAATGATAAAGCCAAAATACTAATATGCTTTATAATGGACACACTATAACTAATACAAGAGAAGATGGTGAAGAAAATTTAAAAATATATTTTTAAGGTCCATAAAATTTTTCTTTCATATCAAACAAACCAAATAATCAATATTTATCCACTAATATCAAATCTGAAGGCATCTTCAAATTTAGGATTTACTGAAACTAATCTACAAAAAGATGCACAAAAATCATGAAAACACAATCAAATTCTCATATCATAAATTTTTAAATTTTTAATTTAAATAATTATTCAAGACTTGAGAGACAAGAAAATATAGAGAAATCAAAACAAATATTAATTTAATAACCTTTTACTAAAAAAAACATAGAAATTCAGATTATATCAAACCTAGACTAAAAAAAGTCAAGCATACAAATCAATTACAAGATTTTATTGAACAAAACTAAAATTCGAGAAAAATAAACCATCAAAATAAGTCTTTTGCTTATATAAAGAGATAATCTCTTCTGGAATTCTCAGAGGGACTTTGTGTTATAAAATGGGAACGAATCACATAAAAAAAAAATCAGCGAGCATTTCTAATAAATAGTTGGCAACAGAGTTCTGGAAGCATTGCGGCCAAAATTATCTCTAGATAGCTGTAGTTAGAGAATCAATACATGGATCCCTACTCATGAAAACTTAGGCTTTGTTTGAGACAATTTTTTCACTGTTTTCTAAAGTAACTTTTTAGCAAAAAAGTTATAAAATTAGAAAACTTTGTACTAAAAAACTGTTTTAAAAAGCAGTAAGAAAGTTATCCCAAACAAAATCTTAATCAAACCAAAAGCCGCATATCATTCACACAAAACAACCACATGATGCACATACATTGTACTCCATAGATTACGGCAAGGGCGGAACTGTGTACTGCTGGGGGGTAATTACCCCTCCTAAAAAAATTAAAACTCTTAGTATATTAAGGGTATTATGCCCCCATGAATTTTTTTTTTTTTGCCCCTAGCCAACCTTTTTTTCACGCAATTTGCCCCACCAAAAATTAGAAAACCTCTTGGCCTCCCGCTATTTTCATCCGATTTGAATTTTTCTAACACTAACAAACAAGTCTGCGAAAAGCAATCATGTGCAAAATAAATTATTTTTGCACCCTTTTTTAGCAATTGACAATTTGATTTTATTCAAATTATTTTATGCTTAAGTGTCATTTGGCTTAGGTGTCTCAAGAATGCTTGTTCCAGAAAATTAGAATGAGGGTATTATGCCCCCATGATTTTTTTTTCCCCTAGCCAACCTTTTTTTCACGCAATTTGCCCCTCCAAAAATTAGAAAACCTCTTGGTCTCCCGCTATTTTCATCCGATTTGAATTTTTCTAACACTAACAAACAAGTCTGCGAAAAGCGATCATGTGCAAAATAAATTATTTTTGCACCCTTTTTTACCGATTGACAATTTGATTTTATTCAAATTATTTTATGCTTAAGTGTCATTTGGCTTAGGTGTCTCAAGAATGCTTGTTCCGGAAAATTAGAATGAGAAGAGACGAGAGTACAAAATGATAAATTGTATAATTAAATTTTATTCACATATTTATGTAAAATATAATATGAAAAGTTGTACATAAATAGGTTGAGAAATATCAATTAAAGAAAGAAATGAATATGGACACCAATCTTTAATTCCAGATCCAAAATTAACTATACAATAGAGATTGAATATTGATGTCAATAGAATGTTGAGTTACTGTAGATGGAAAATTGTTGTCAATCAATTGTCAAGATTTTGTTTTGAATTTTGTCTTATATATATTTTTATTTTTTTATAAGTTTTTCACTTGCCCCCCTAAGAACTAAGGCTGATTTCGCCCCTGGATTACAACCAAACCTATAAACATGAAAATTAATTATTAGATATTAAGACTACTGATGTCATGAATCCAAAGAGAACATTGAAAATTATTTTGAGACAACTTTTTACTAAAAAACAAGAGCTCTAAGAGAATATTCGTATGCGTATACATTATACTCCATAGATTACAACGAGACCTATTAGCCCAACCATGAAAAATAATTATAAGACAATAAGACATACCAGTACTGATGTCATAAGTCCTAGAGATCCAAAACCTGTAGTAGATAGAAAAAGTTCTTTTAGGATAAAATTGTTTAACTCTTCATGTAGACTTATCAAACGTGCAAAAAAATTCATGTAAAAGAGCAAGCCTAATTCAACGTTCCTGGTAGATCCTTGCTCAAACCAGCTCATCTAATAGCGCATCTTTTTCATACACCATAGTACAATTTCCCTTTAAATCTTCTCATCTTCCTCAGTTAGAAATGCCAAAATGAGGGTTTTTTATTGTGAATGGGGAATGAGTGAATGAGTTTTCCTAGGAATAGAAAGGAGATGGAAGGTACCATAGCAGATATATTTCGGAAATTGCAATGAAATGGGAAAGTTCAACAAAAGAATGGAGTTAAATTGAAACCTTGAGCCAAGAAATCACTCTGCACATCTCCATCATAATTCTTGCAAGCCCACACATAACCACCTTCACTTTTAAGTGCATAAGCTACCATATCATCAATAAGACGGTGCTCATACCTACAAAAACATCAGTTATGCATTAGATCTAAACCATACGGGATAAAAATTTTGAGAAATAAGGTCTGTATAAGTAGCACCACACCATATTCCTGCAGCCTCAAACTTGGCTTTCCATTTAGTTTCGTACACCTCTTGGAATATGTCTTTGAACCTGAAGGAACAGAAATCAAGTAATTGCATGTCAATTGCATGGAAAACGGAAGCAGTGATGATGAGGCTAGACTTAGGCTTCATTTGAACGGCTTTCTTACTACTTCTTAAAGCAGCTTTCTAATACAAAAGATTTAATTTTTGTGCTAAAAAGCTGCTTCCGAAAGCAGTAGAAAGCCATCTCAAACGAAGCCTTAAACAAGAATTGGCATACTCATTAACACAAAACACATAAAAACTTCAAGATTCACAGTGATATACGGGGGAGAAAACAGACCTCCCATCATACTTCTTCAGAATAGTGTTTTTTGTGCTGAGGTAAAGCGGCCACCTTTTCTGGTATGCTGTGTTCATTGAAGCCTCAGCAAATGCACGAATGGACTGCATAGAAAAAGATGAATTAGGTGAACCCCTCCATATTCACTAACATTAAGATACCTGGTTTGCAGGGCATGCATCAACCTCATCGGTATTGTACATGGCCAATGCAACACCACCAGCACCTGTGAAGTTAAAAACCTCGAGCTGAACTTCCTCTTCTCTGCCCTCTGAATGTGATCAACATAAGAAAAATAAATCCTGGAAAAAATATCAAACTGATATCCAAAGAAAACAGTCCCAAAATGCATAAAAATAACACAAGAATATCATTGTTGGTACACCTACCAAATATTAATTTGAGTGTTCCAGGGCCATTTATTATTTTGTCAGTTGCTCGATATTGATCACCATAAGCATGTCTTCCAATGCATATTGGCTTAGTCCATCCTGGAGGCTGGAACAGATGAGAAGCAAAAGAAAACGCTACATTAATGTAAATAGAAAGAACCCATATCCTTTTCTTCATACCTGACACAAGCCTTGGTATATTTTTGCATAGAATTGGTTCTCTAAATACAGTGCCTGCAAAAAAGGTATAAATACTAGTAAAAACAATTTTGGACTACACTGCCATGATATCTCACCGTTTAAAATATTCCTGATTGTTCCATTAGGGCTCTTCCACATGGATTTCAGATTAAATTCCTTTACACGACCTTCATCTATTAAAACACCAGAAAAGAACGCCAAAAATGTGTGAGAAAACTCTCATGGCCAAGCAATCCAACTAACTTTATTAGGTAGTGAATATGCAAAAAAAAAAAAAATCCAATTTATCTTTACCTGGAGTTATGGTAGCACATTTAATTGCGACGTTGTACCTGCAACATAAACAAACTTTATGAAGCTAGACTCTAGAGTTAGGACCAAAATTATTAATAGTTCATTATTCAGGTCACAGACTACTTTGGTGTTCTACAGAAGAAAAGTAGCACAGTGCCTCTAAGAGAAACTCATAGAGCAAACAAACCCACGAATGCAAGCTTTAAAACTGGCTTACATTCCAACTCTTAAAGATTATAAGAAATAAAGAGCATGAAATATGATTCATGTTGTATGATAATAGGTCTTTTGCATAAGATTAAATAATTGATAAAAAAATTGGTATGGATGGTTTCAAAAATTTTGTATTTCCTTTGAAATAAGTTCAATAAAGAATCAACTAAGTTTTATTTAGCACACATCTCAAAATAAATCTAAGTATTACAACCGAACCTAACCAAAATTTGATAAGGCTATCCTCACTGAAATATTTTTTCCTCAAATAATATCTAAAATTGGAGTGCACTTGACATTGAGAATTACTTGAATGTAGGCTATGTTTGAGAAACTTTCTTATTGTTTTTTAAAATAGCTTTCTAGTACAAAAATTTTTTGTTAAGAAAAATTGTGTACTAAAAACTACTTTAGAAGCGGTAAGAAGGCCATCCCAAAGGAAATCATAGTCTAAGGCTTTGTTTGTGACAGCTTTCTTGTTGCTTTTCAATACAAAAATTTCAATTTTAATTTTTTTTTTTACTAAAAAGTTGCTTCATAAAGCAGCAAAAAACCTATCCCAAACAAAACCTAAATGCGTTGCTTTTATGCATTCGATGGACTTACCTAAGAGTTGCTTCTGCACTTTCTACTGTAACTCGATCATCCGTAGCATCACGATTAAGAATGCCAAGGTCAAAGTACTCAATATTTAAGTCCAAAAATGGTAAAATAAGCTGCATTCATAGAAAATTGAAAGCCTCAGCCAACATGAGCATAACTACGATTACAAAATGCAGCATTTTGACGAGAATTAAAATAAAAAAAAAACATTAGAATTGAGTGGTGTTCTTGTAAATCCCCCATAAAAACAATGCTTTACCTTGTCTTTAATTAATTTCCAAATGACACGAGTCATTTCATCCCCTGCCAAAAGATTAAAGAAAAAGTTATTATTATGAATGAAAATAGAGGCAACCCATTCACCTGAAGGCATTGAATAACAGAAGAAAATGTAATTTAAAACTAAATCAAATCGCTTCAAAAATCAAATAAAAGAGCTGTTTCTCCAAGGGGTCAATATTCAAGGAAATTGTAAGCATAGAACTTAAGAAAATTTAAATTAAAAAAAAACATTATTTGACTATCAATTAGAGTATTCTGGTTCAGAAAATACTTAATTAACGATCATTGACTAGGTTTCTTCCAAGGAAAAGTATAGGCATGCGTTTGACGAAAATCTCACCGTCCATCTCCACGATGGGATTCGCCACCGTGATCTTCTCGAACGCCATTTCCCTTCGAGGAGATCAAGAGCAGCGATCGAGGAGGCCGGAAGAACCGTCGGAGAAGGACAAGGCGACTGCGACGGAGATAAATATATCGGCGACCAAAATGCGACTTGCGCCGATATTTTGTTTCTTCTGGAGAGCCCGATATTTCATTGTAACTTTGGTGAGCTACAACCATCCGCCACGCGTCGTTTCAGATTACTCGTTCGACACGTGGCTAAAACAATGGTACGGTGGAAAGGGGTGGAAAATATTTCGGTTCCCTATGATATGCTGAGAAGAGTTCTCAAAGCTTACCAAACTCGCTACTGATGATTTTCGATGTTCCTAATTGCCTGCATAAGTTCGTAGCGTCGTTGCTGTACCTAACACGAACAATTGGGCCGGCATGCCTGGATGGATTTAAAAAAAAAATATATGATTTATAATAATAAAAAAGAAAAAATTATTTTTTATTTATTTTAATTTTAAATATCCAAAAATTTTATTTATTTAAAATTCAAAAATAAATTTGAGGTATTTTTTATATTTTAATTTTTTCCCCTTGACTTGACACTCAATTTCCAAATCTTCATGATTCAAGTTAAGCTAACTCAGCCAACTCGGTATCTGCTCAAAAGGGACTCAACATTACAAGAGAACTCACTTTAAATAGGTGACTATGATCTTAGATCTCATCCCAATTCCCAACCATATGAGTATAATCTATGAGGTAGCCAATGTAATATATGTCATCAAACCAAAGTAATTTTCTGTAACTAATCATCAATTTTAAATTAATTAGTACTTATGAGTTTTAGAATATTAAATGTGGTAGAAAATCATAGATGTTTGGATAAAAAATGTGACAAATTCAAGTTTGGATGCCTAGAAGCGCCGTCGCGACATTGGACCTCAGCTTAGCATGTTCATGGAGCATCTAAAATATTCTCTTTGAGTGTTGTGGCATTGGAAAAGTTGAGCGGCGCCATAGTGCTAGGTCAAAATAGTGAAAAATTAAATATTAAAATATCTCAACTCACTTGCTCATTTCACTTACCACCCCAACCTTGTCAGAGAATAAAGGAGGAGAAGAGAAGAGAGAGAAATGAAGGAAGAGATTTCAGAGATCAAATTCCATGATTCATTTGTCAAGTCAATTTAAGAAATTGTAAACCTCCAGGAAGTCTCCTAAACTTTTGTCTCTGATTTCAATTCCGGATTTCAATTCCGGTAAGTTAATAAAAAGATATGAACAAAAATATTTTTTTATCTAATTTTATGAAGTTTTTATCGTATGATTTTTAATATGTTATCGTACTTTGCATTATGGACGTTTTGACTATATGAAATTGAGTTTCCAACCGTTAGCTTTTCACATACAAAGTTCTGAGTATATTGTTGAATTAGAATATTTATGATAATTGCAATAGTTATGTAAAAGTATTGAAATATTCATGTGAATGTTCTTCTGAAAGTAAAAAAAATTGATTGAGGAAAAATCTAATAAGTATTATATTCTACAGGAAAAGTTGTGAGTATTCAATTCTACATGAATAGTAGCTTTTACTGGTAGTTTATATATTTTATGTATGATGCATCGAAAAGATAAATTAAGTGTCATTTCATTACATTTTCATTCTGCATTCACAACATTTGAGGAGTTTTATTCTAATGTATGGAAAAGTACAGTCTCTGTTATGTTACAAATGACCCTAAATGTACTTTGTTGGTCTCATCTGTCTGATACAGATGTGGGAGAGATTCTAGCCTCACTTGCTAGAAGTAGATTGGAGAGATTAAGTAATATTGTAAGTACTTTTCTGGCCACATCTATTAAATGCAGATGTAGGAAGGATTCTAGCACAACCTTCTTTGTGCAGGTGTGGGAGGTATAAGGGAAAACAAGGATATAAGCAGACATCAAGACGTGCATTCTAGTCTTATGATAATATTTTTACAATAAGGTTAGTAAATATTATGATTCATGTTTTAGTGAACTTTGAATTTTTGTATGAATTTTGACTAGAAGTAAAAGTAAAATGCAAGTGATTCTATGAAGAATGAGTATTATGTGTGGCATCTGAAAACTTGTGTAAAAATGATTGTATTGTTATAAAAGTAAGTGTTGCCGCCGAGATTAGGTACGTATACTGGAATCTAGTAATTCCTTGTTTTGCTTATGCTTTATATATTTTGAAGGACTAGATATTTTCTTTTATTAACTACTTTTAAATGAAGTGTTTTTAATGTATATAAAGAGATTTTGATATCTAAGAGGGATAAAGGAGTCTATCGAGCTAGTTGAGCTTACTTTATTTTTTAATATTTCAAAAACATGGTAAAGGACATGCCAAGTAGATCAGGTGTAGAGACAGTATTTTGGGATACAAATTTCTAAGGTATAATTTTATAATCGAGCATTTAATTATTTGATGTATAAACTTCCATGATATGGATTATTATAATTATATTTTGGTGAAATGAAAGTTGATTACACTATTTTATATTTTTGAGAGATTTAGTAGCTTTAGTTATTATTTATAGATGAGATAACTATTTATAGGTTTAAGTAAATTCAATCCTTTCACAAGTGGTACCAGAGAATTAGACAATAATTCTAATATCAAAAAATAATGTTGTAGAGCTTTTAAAGCTTCAAAATAGAGTTTTGAACAATCTTTTATAATCTAGTGAAATTCTGAAAACATGAAAATCTGCTCAGTGGTTCAAATTGTTGGCTACGAATATGAAATTCTGCTCAGTGGTTCAAATTGTTGGCTATGGATATAACACTGTAAATTTTTTAGTTGTGCTTTATTTGCATCTCTTATTACAATACAATTATATATGTATTTATTTGCTTGAAATATGTGATTTTGAGGAGATATGATATTGGAGGAAATTCTGTTGTGTTGAATGCATTCAGAGTCATAAAGACCTGAATTTCTAAATATCTTATGTGATTAAAAAAATGAGAACATGGAGAAGAATACAACAATCCTTTCTTCATTTCAAACAAACTAATTGAGATCAAGTTAATATATAAAAGAAAATGATATATATTATTGTAGGGTGCAAAGATTATTTTTAACAGACGATTTAAAGGACTAAAGTTTTCTAACGAACAGCTGAGTAGTGATCGAAGTGATGGTGTATCATTATTTAAGTTATTAATTTTATAATATTATCACCTCCCCTCAAGTTATGAGTCATTTGTTGGATCATCAAATAGAATTCTTAAGACTTTGGAGTTTGGAGAAAATATTTGATAGTTAATTCATATAGGCTTTGTGTTGAATCGTGATGTCATGTAATTTTATACAATCATGGATCAAGTGTTTGTCAATCTCCATGTACTTGGGCTTTATTTGGGAAGTTCTCACTACAACAACAACAACATCAAGCCTTTATCCCACTACGTGGGGTCGGCTACATGAATCCTTTTTCTCCATTGTGTCCTATTAAAAGTCAAATTCTCGTTTAAATCTAATAAAGAAAGCTCATTCCTAATATTTTCTAACCAAGTCTTTTTAGGTCTACCCCTACCTTTCTTAACATAAGTCAAATCTAATACCTCTACTCTCCTAACCGGGTCATCGCAAGGCCGCCGTTTTATGTGACCAAACCATCTAAGGCGACTTTCTCTAATCTTATCTTCTACTGGAGCTACTCCAACCTTTTGGGAAGTTCTCACTACTTTAAAAAAAATTATATAATTTATTTTGAATTAAATTTTTTTTACTAAAAATTTACTTTAAAAATAGTCATCCCAAATCAAACCTTACTGTGATCATGAAAGATCAAGTTATTAAAGCGTACAATAGCTAAAATGTTAATGTAATTAGAGCTATATAAATTAGGTCACTGGTCAGGTTCAAGTTAAACTCGAAATTGACCTTGCACTATTTGACCAAACCCTAACCCAACCCATTTTTTTAGAACGAGTTGGTTTTGCAGACCCGAACCCGACCTGCTTTGGGTTCGAGTCAAGCTAACCCGACCCATATATCTGCCACCGTTCGCATTTATTCAGCCAAATCACATATATCTGTCACCGTCGGCCCTCTATTTGCATGCTTATTCAGCCAAATCACATAAATCTACCACTGCGGCGCCGCCTGCCCTCCGTTCCCGTGCTTACTCAGCCAAATCCCATAAATCTCCCACTCGACCTACCGTCAGCCATCCATTCACCACAGGACAGGAACTCAGGAAGGTCGTCTAAGCCAGAGAAGATGAAGGAAGAGCATCCTCATCCTCGAGTCTTCGAAGTGTGGACTGTTGTGCGGAGCTTAGGGTCGTAACCGGTAGCCGGAGAAGAGGTAGGTTAGGACGGACTTCGAGCTGAGCACCGGCAACGAGACATTAAGGCTGCTGTACAACGAGGTCATGCGGGAGCTAACCAGTTAGTGTCCAGCTGATTTGCATTACTGTCTTGTACAGCGAAAGAAGGCGGACGCGGGATTTCTCGAGTTAAACCCAAGTTATTCTCGAATTTTCAGATCAAATCGAATCCAAGCCGGAATTCAAAATAGGTCAAAAATCAAGACCCAAACCCAATCAATTTTAAATTCATATCGAGTTTTTGAGTTGTGTCAATTTTTTACAGCCCTAATTATAATATAGGGGCTGGCTTGAGCAACAAAAATTGTAAGCCATCTAGAAATTTTGTGAAGCTAATTAATATTTGTGGCAGATATTGCAAGTGCGCTTCATTTAAGTTTTATTCATTTGGGATGACTTTTTAATTATTTTTTAAAGCGCATTTTAATCCAAAATTTTTTTAAGCTATAAATTTTTTTACTAAAAAAATTATTTTAAAAAACAGTAATAAATATATAACCAATTATAACTACAATCTGAATAATAAAACAGTAAAAAAATTATTCCAAGCAAAATCTTAATATGCAGAAGAGGCTTATAGTCCCATAAATAATATCACATTTTGCTTTCTCTGCAATAATTATGATGATATTATATTGTTATTGGGTACCATATAAAATAAAATCATCATATTTGTACATCAAAACACGAATTACTTCACATCATGTCAGGAATGAAATCGCTAATGTTCCCAGGAAAAGCTTTTTTTGATCGAATTTAAGCAAATTGAAAATTAAAAATATATGCCAAAGACATGCCAACAAAAGGCTAAAAATTAAATAAGTGGAAATATATACTAAACTCAGAGCTAAATATGCTCAACCTGCAAGCAGATTAGGCAAAGTTTCATTCAAGCAGAAAATTGAGCAACCAGAACTGAAGGGCCAATGCCTCCAATGGCATTTCAGAAAACAGGGAAGGGAAGAAGATTTAGGTTTAATGTGTATTTTCAGTAGAGTTATGTATCCGAATAAAATTTACCTTACAAACTGGCATAATAGCCTCAGATGTCTGAGAACTTTCCAGAATATCAACATCAGAATTTAGATCTGATTGCTTTTCAACCTGTTCCACTTCAATGTGAACAAGTGAACTATCGGCATCGCCAGTAATAGATTTGTGATCATCCTCTTCCATTAGAGTGGCAGCACTATTGTCATTAGCAGTTGAAGGTTCTTTGGGAAGAGAAGTAATGGCTGCTGCAGGCGGCTTCAATTGCCTTCTACAGCTTTGCTTCTCATAAACTGACATAGCTCTCTGCGGAAAAGGATTCAGTACGAATCATGAAATTTACGCAGACAAACAAATGTTTTGCCAATCAGCCAAATTCAAAATAAATAAATAAATAAAAAAAATCCAAGTTACACATTTGAAAAAAAAAAAATATTAAAGTGAAATAACTTCTCAACTTGGTTTGTTTATTATTATTGCATTGGAGATACCATAGTCAGTTTTGGGTAGATTCAACTAAACACTCATGAAGGTTTCGTTTGAAACGGTTTTTTTATTGCTTCTTAAAGTAACTTTTTAGTACTAAAAAGCTGCTTTAAGAAGCAATAAAAAAGCAGTCTCAGACAGTTTTTGAACTATGACTGCACCATTTATCAATAAAGATTTATTTTAAAGGAAAGCTATATGCTGTAACCGAAGTTCAATTCCACAATAAGCTTAAGAAAATCCTAAAATATACATTAGCTTCTTGTTATGAATAGTACAAAGAGAGACAAAAAAACAACAATCTACTATAACAGTACAAGTTTCAATTACTACACTGACATTTCAAGCATCGCACAGATAGCTCATGTAAGCAACAATTTTGAAGAACGTCAGTTTGTCATGTAAACTATTAATGTGTTAATAATGAACGATATAATAACACCTTCATAACCTACTTCCCCTCTCTATCTCAAGTATTAATCTTTCTCTATAATTAGGTTTCAAGTAATTTAATTTTTGAAAAAAAACCCGATCAGCAATTACAGAATTTAAAATTATAAATGTATTAATAAGAAGCACTCTGATTGTTCAAGAACTTGGCAGTGAATCCCTCTCCAGCACGCCCACCCATCCCTCCCACATTTTCAAAATTTAAAAAAGTGCACTTTCCACCTAAATAAAGCAAGCAAAAAATCCAAAATTTATGATAATTTAACCGCACAAAATGTCCTTTAACAGATAATCTTATTCATTTGTTGTACTTGGCAAATACATCAGTCAAAATTACCTTAAAAGTAGCATCAGCAGCAGCCGGTAGCAGAGAGCTTCTTAGGTTTGGAAACTTTCGAGAATTTTGAATTTTATTTTTCTGTGAGAAGAAATTCGGTCAGAAACAGAGAAAAAAGAATAGCGTGGAATGCAAAAGGTCTAAGTGGAATACCTTAGCATCTTCATCCTTTGAAACATTATAAATGTCAGTAAAGTTAACAGATGCCAAAAGATCCTTGACCTCTTTATACAGTTCGGGGTGCAAAAGATCTGCTGAAATTTCAATTTTGGAGAAGTAATTACATAAGTTGAGGCTGTCACCACTGAACTTTTTCCCAAACTGAGAAGTCCTTTTCAGTTTTGTTTCTAGACAGGCTTCTACAGATTTATTATCTGGAGGATCATTCAACTGCTTCACATGAGCAGCAACATCTGATGCACTTCTCAAGTTCTCAACTCCATTGTTAGATTCCAGGTTAGGATATGCACCCTTTGATTCATCTGTTTGCTCCTGAGGAGAAGAAAACTCAGCAATGCTTGAACTCTGCCCCTTCAATATCTCAGCATTCAAATCCCAACCACGTCCACCCGTTAAATGCCTATTCCGATTCCAATCCGGCCTCCGATAAGCTTGCAATTTGTCACCAAAAAGAGAATTACCACCATCCCACCCATGGATTTGAGGTGGACAGGAGTCATCTACATGATGATGCCATCCAAATGGATGCCCTTGGCCAGGAAACCGATCAGCGACCTCATGAATATGATATGGAATCCCAGTTTGATTTATCTCCGGGTATGGCCTCGCAGCAAATAAGGGTGGAGGAAAATGCTGGATGGTAAACCCAGGAGAAGGATGGCCATGCTGGAATGGGATGAAACCATTCGGAAGCGGAGCGGACCAATTTAGACCATTTTTCCAAGCGCCTCCCTGCGCTCTTTCCATATTTGGATCACAACTTCTGTACCGGCCGTTGGATCTACAATCCCCAGATGTAATTCTCATATCATCCTCATAAGTGGAAGAATTGTCCATCCCACGTCTTGGGGGCGGAGGAACAAGATGACCAGGTGAGCTGGCTGGGAAATGATTAGTTCTCTTAAAAAGTGAGGGGCTGGGGCTAGCAGAAGCGCCCTCGGGCATCTGCAAATCTGCCTGAGAATTGTTTTCCATAGTTGGGCTCTCTAAAACCATTTGGCGTTCTCTGTCATCTGCAATGGAGAATTCTTTTGGTTTTTTAGAAGTGGTTTTTTGCATAGAATCTTCAATAGTAACAGGTTTTCTAGCACCACGTCTACTAAAAATTGTATCACTTGTAGACGAAGCTAACCGTCAGATTTTATGGTGGTCGAATCATAAAAGGAAAGAAAAAAATAATAGTAATAACTAACCTGAGTTTACTCGATCTCTACGCTGGGCCCTTTCTGAAGAAAGAGGTTCACAGACATTCTCACGAACTACTGAAATTTTATCATGGTCTTCAGTAGGGCAAGGTCTATCACCACAAAATGGTTCTCCATGTGTATATTCTGCCAGCTTTCCGCCTCGTCTGCAACATATTAAAAGAAATTAATTGTTTTTCCACATCAGAGACCAGAAGTTGTAAGTTAGTAACCACAATTTGTGCACTAAAGTTTAAAAAGAAGAGTAATAATAATGGCCAGAAAATTATCATCGACCGGACAGATACAGTAATTATTGTTTATATCAATCAACCAAATAGCGTCCAAGTTACAGAAAAATGAAATTAAATAGAAAGGATCAATAAAGATCACAAGTAACAAAGAGACATCAAAGAGAAAAGATAGGTGCCTTAGAAATGAGAATACTTAAATTGATGAGTTGCAAATGAAGTCGACAAAAGGAAAATCAGTAAACCTACACAATAAATGAGATCTCTTTCCCACCACATCTCCCTAATTCTAGGATCATTAGGGATATTTGGGTTATTACTTCCTAGCAGTCCAAAATTAAATCTCCCATAAAAACTGGATCAAGCAACCAGATCCGACCAGATCAGATCAAAAATCAGTAATAGAGACCTTCACATTGATAAGTTCAGGTTATGAGGCAGCAGATCTTCCATATACTACAATTAGACAAACAGCTTGGAGACGTCATGGCAATCTTTAAGTTAATAATCACAAAAAGGTCAAAGCAAAATATAAACAAATCAGTTACGAAGTACCAAGACTTACATAAAGAGGGTGCATAACATGCCAATCAGATAGGAGTCCGCTATAAATGAATCAAAACCTTTATAAGGGACAAAACAAGGATAACTAGAAATTTGATGTGCAAAAGCTGTCACTAGAGAGAACGAATAAGTATATAGCCAGTTTAATACCTGGTTTGATCTTTCGAACTATGCGCCTTTGGGCTCAAAGAACTCCTTGAAAGAGTATTGTTTAAGGAAGAATCAACCTTGCCTTGATGCCGATAATCAAATTTACTTGAATTTGATGCATCCTTATCTACATTAGAACGTGATTCCTTGGTACTTATTTTTCTCAAGCCATAATGATCATCAATTTCATCATAGGAGGACCTTTTCTGCAGCCTGCTACCCCTTGATTTGATTCCATGATCATCAGCATGTGGACTAAGTTCACGGTCACTTCCATGAAGCCTACTTTTCTTATAACTCTCAAAATACTTCTCCCTGTCTCTGACAGATTTACTCTCAGGCCGGTCACTGATGTAATCTCTGGAAGAGCGCTCATCTTTATGCCTGCTATCACGATGCCTTTGATTCCTATCAAGATCCTTGTAGTATTTATCCCGATACCTGTCATATTTATACCGTTCATCCTTGAGCACCTCAACTTTATGGCTTCCATTCTTGATGTAATCATCCCTAGAAGATAACCTCCTATCATCACTGTTTCTACCATCATCCAGCCCTTTCTCATTGCCATCAGAGCTGCATCTCCTCTTTGTCATAAATGCTTCAGGATCTTTCTCAAACTCTGCATTGTGTAAATCATCTCGAGCTTGTCTTTCTGCAGACATATAATTAAAACAAATTTGAAAACAAAATATAAATGTCAGTACAAAAAACAACAACTAATCCATTCCCAAAAATAGATAGCATGCATGTTTCCTTTTTAGATATAGTATTGGCATGGCAAGCCTGACAGAATTTGACAATTTAGCAAGTACACAAAAGGTAGAAGGGAGCTGCCCGCATCAACAACCATAGTAATTCCATGGTCATTACGAATGCATATCACTTGCTTATTACATAAAACAATATTTTTTTAATTCGCAACACAACTCGTTTCTTTACCATTTGACATATCACTTCATGTTTATCTGATGACAATAACAATAGAAGAATGAAACTATCTTTAGAAATTTTTCAAGCTGGTTTTGAGTCCACCTTACTAGTAATAAAGCCTCAGCAAGTCAACTAAACCGATACAGTTCACCCATCAACATTGACTAAAAAAGCAATTAACTTCGGAACATAATACATGAACTAAATATATTGAGAACCAGAGGTCTAAAACCCGAACTATCAATAATTTTTAGCAATTCATGAGGAAGTTGAAAAATTCAGAAGGTAAAGTAATTCCCTTTGGTCTGGGACGGATGTAAGATATGGCTATATTTTCTATTCATCCTCGCCTTTTAAATTTCCTTGGCTCTTCCTAGATCACATGAAAGCTAAATGCCCACACAAATTTCCTTTCAGAGCATAGGGTTTTTCTTAAGACCAGCCTAAGAGTTAATAATATATCAAAAAGGATACTGGTCGCTAGTTCTAATTCCAGCAGTAGCATCTATTTTTATCCTTTTCAATAACCTGATCGAAATTTCAGCTTTAGAGTAATCATGTTTCTTGGAATCATCATAACTAGCCACATCCCAACTATTTGGTCAGCTTTATAAATCCTAATTATCTAATTATTTTGGTCCAATGATGGATAAGGTGATAAATTTATTTTGTGCAAATATTTTTGCACTTCTATCAAATCTATCTTTAATCTACCTTTTTTTTTATAATTCTTCAAAAAATATTACTTATCAATTTTTCTTATGACTGCATTTTCTACTCTGCATTGTGTATGACCAAAAACACCAAAGTTATTCACTTATAGATGCAATTCTGCACTTTGTTGTGCATAATAACCAAAACCACCAAATCTATTATTCACTACCATAGTTTCAATGGATGTTAGTTCTTCACCCTCTAATATAATCATTGCCAGTTTTGCGACATGCATCTTAACATCCTCATTTCTGACACACTCAACATGACATAATACACTTGCAAAACTTCTCCAAGTTATATATTCACATAGAGATCAGATCCCAAAAGAGCCCCATTATTATTTGCATGCAGCCAATTTAGTCTCAGAGTATCACATTCTCCATTTGAGTCCCTCGACTATACAAATTGACCCAAAATAATCCCTCATGCAATTATTTTGATACAAAATTAATCCCAATATAGTCACTTAACTATATAAAATCAATACCAATTTAATGTACTTGATGGAATAAATTGGAGAAATATGATAACCCTGAGGGAATATTGTGGATAAGTTTGCATGATCAATGGATTAAATTTTAAAAAAGGTGATATTTTAGGACTAAATTAACCATATACGAAAAGTCAGAGGACCATCTTATGGTTTAACCCTATTCATATGCACCTAACACACGTATTATTTTATCTTTTAACAATATTATCTAAACAATATTAATATTACAGATATTAAGATTAAATATCATATAACAAGGTTTTTTTCTACTAATTTAAGAACTTATTTTTCATAAACAAATTCTTCATTATTCTAGGATTCCACTTATTTTAAGAATCTCACCGGTTACAATTATGTCATCTACAAAAAACATATAATAAAGTTACTAACTTTAAATATTATTTCCTAAACATCTTTATAATCACTACAAAAAATTACAGACTTAAACATGATAATATAATTCAATTTAACTCTAATTAAAATCTCTTTGATCACTCCATAATTACTTCTCATACTAGTTTATGATCCATCATACATATATTTAATAATGTCAACATTACTTTGACACTTTCTCCTTAATACACACCAAAATCAATTATTTTGGTACTAAATCAAAAGCCTCTTTAAGATAAAGAGAAAACATATAAAGATCCTTTACTTTCTATAATTTTTTGTTATCTTAACACAAAAAATTACTTCCACAATGAATCTACCTAGCATTAAACCAAATTAACTTTTTGATATAAACATAAATTTTCCAAATTATATGTTTCATTACTTACTCCTATAACTTCATTATATACCTTATAATTCCTGCATTAGTCGAAAGACTTAATGCCAAACTCATTAAATGAAAGCATGCATCTTGGTAATAAATTCAAAACCAAATAAGTGTCAAAGTAATGTATAAAATCTCTAGTTCTCAGGGTAGAATAAAGCTTTCGATTCACAATGTTTCTTGGTATAAAATAAAAGACAGAAGAAGTGCATGATAAGCAAATAAAATAAAAAATGAAAAACACTGAAGAGTGTGAAAGCTCCTGATCTAATTATATATCACTAGTTTGTGTTGGTGGTAAGAACATATCCTAATTTGCTTAGAATTTAAACTTATTTAAGGTAGGAACCATGATAGGGATGCGGGACCTTGAAAAAGGAACATAGTTTACGAGGGTGGAAGGGAATCAGGTGACATCAACAAGAATAATTTCAATAGCTCAACATGTTACAGTTGGGTGTTGTATACAATAAAAAAAAAATCCACTTTTTTTTTGCTTTTACTCTTACTCCTACAGTCGAACAAGTGAACTTCTGCTAGAGACCTTATTAGAGAAACCATTCTTTCTCTATTTTAATTAATATAGGTAGACAAACATAATTGTCCTATTAGAAATGCACGTAGGCAAAACACAAGTAATCTACCATAATAAAAAATGATACTGCCAAGCTAAATCTATAAAAAAAAATGAAGACAATCATTTATATTAATAATGAACTCGAAGCCAATTAGCCAAATGGTTAAATTATGCAAATGACGAAAACTAATAGCAAGATTCAGGCGACCCAATAAAAGTCAGTCATGACAAAATAAATCAACAAACCATTTGCAAGCATTTTATGTTGAAGCAAAGAAAAACAATTGGACCTAAAACAACCAGCATGTAGGCCAAAAAAAAGGAAATATATAGACAGAACAAAAAGAAAGGGTAGAAAATAACAAGCACATGAAGCAGAGTGATTGAAAGAGCTATGGAAAAACCAACTATCAGATCACAAATCTTAATCCAATAGCCATTTCCCTAATCATATAGTTTAAGATCTGATATTTGATAAATATTACTTCTAGCTTTGCATATAATGCAAGCTTGCAAAGTAGTTGACAACAGCAGTGCCCTAATAACAAAAAAAGTCTTAATCAGCAAAAAAAAATTTACACATCCTTTTGTAGTTCTCCTTCAATAATCCTGATAATTAGTGCCTATCATTCATCTCAATTCTTTAGAGATGAACGCAAGCAAATCAAGCCAGAGAAACTTCAAAGGCGATAATATTTATTTAAAATCATGTATTCATATTATCTTGGTTAAAAAAAGGTCACATTGGAAAGAGATTGTTCATCCTGAAGCAACTCATTTCACAACAACTTGCATTACTTTCAAAAGTGTCTAAATACGCACGATTTGCAGGCATACATAACTTGCAAGTACTACACTGATTCAAAGTTGGTAAAAGCCATTAAAGGGGAAAAGAAAGTTCTATCATTATCGATAATAAGCTTTGGAATGATTACTTAATTATGTCCAAAAAAAATCAAGAGCACTCTAATGAAAAGCCATCACTTGGTTATCTTTATGATGGAATATATGAAGCAAGGAAGTCAATCAAAAGGATTTTTAAAAATGCCACTAAATTGTACAAGCCATAAACAAACATTATCAATAAGAGATGGGACTGTAATCTTCTTTAAGGCATTTACTCATATGCATATTTTTGAACCCTTTATTTCCAATATGATCAAGAGAGTTGTTGTCATAAACTTGAAGTCATGCAATACTTGATTGAAATTATTGAAAATAAAGATATAAACAATAAAACAAAATTTGCAATGAATGTGGTTAGAATTTATCAAGAAAATTTAGCAAGCTCTAGAAAGCCAGTTGCTCTCACTATATCTTAAAAACGTAACTTGCAAATGACGATAAATTTGGTGTCAATAAATGAGTCAATCTACCAACTTGACTAGAAAATTCAAGGTTTGAGCTGACCTGTTTAATAAATGAGTTAGGTTCAATTCTAAAATTTCAATGATTTATTGAATAGGTTGGGTTCAGATTGACTGCGAACCCGATTTTGATCAAAAAATGACTGGCTTAATATTTTTTTCCTTAAATTCTTTTGCTTATTAGTATGATCTTCTTATCTTTGATCAATTAAACAAAACTCTATAGACAACAAGTTATTAACAAAACCTTTAACCAAAATAAGCTATCAGGTCGGATTTGGGTCATTCGGGTTACTAGCGAGTCTGATTTGGGTTCACCTTTCAGCCCTAAACAGGTCAAGTTCGGGTTAACTAGATTCGGGTCAGAGCCGAACCTGACTGGTTACCTAATATTTATGATGTTTCCGCATCTTTTTTAAATTTATTGCAGATTGATAATGTTCAAATGAATGGCACAAGAAGTCTAATTCTAGTGTTTCAAATTTACAAAAGCTAGCATTTCATATTCTTAATAAAACTTCTTTCTCTTATGGATGCAAAAAAAAAGTATTTTTTTAGCAAATTCATACCAATATAAGAAATCATTTGAAACATTAGAGGCAAAAGGATCTTGTATGTGTTTGATACAACCTTAATTTGAGGAATAGGTATATTCTTCATTAGTATATCATATATTACATAAAGTTTTAGACTGTATATTAATAGTTCTAGCTAGCTTGATCATTCATAATCTAAAAATCTCATATTTGCTTCGTGTTACACCTTAAATGAAGAAGTTATGATCGATTAGTATACACAAATATTAACATAATGATTTAGATAGTTGATGTTAAATACACTTCTAAACTAAATCATAATGATTTAGAGAGTGCAACCAATAAAGAGGATGCTACTCAAATTACCAAAGATATCAACATGATAAGTAATAGACAAACTCACAGTAAGTTCTTAATGATAATTATATTTAGGATTTTGGTAAAATAAGATAAGGATCAAAATGATCCATTAACTCTTCATAAAGGGCCAAAATAGTCCCCAACTATAATTAAAGGACAAGTTTAGCCCTCAACTCTTTAAAGAGAATAGTCCCATACTCCCATGATTCCTTTTTAAAAACTTAAGAGACCAAAATGATCCTTTAATATAATTGGGGATCATTTTGATTCTTCGTAAAGAGTCATTGGGCCATTCTGGCACATTTCTCGATAAAATAATAACTTACTTTATATATTTGATTTGTAAATAAAGATGAATGTGGTGATGTTACATATGAAATATTTGAATATTTAGAAGCTTTTGGGGCGGCAACTTTTAGGCATGAATTTTAAATATGATTAATCTTCGATTACATTATTTGTACTTAATTTACATTTGATCCTATCTCTATGGTATAAGTCATAAAATAATGGTGTATGTGGATTCATAAATGTTTTGATTTGTGAGCAAATTTATTTTTATCAAATAATGTCCACAATAACTTGCAATCTATTTATGCAGTTGGGTATCAAATAATATTTCACTTCAACTTACATTTACTAGTATATCTTTTTTAATCAATACTATTTTTTTAATCTTCATTTCCTTTTTAGAGCATCAATTTTGTAAAGGAATAAAATATAAGATTTCAAAGGAAGATCCAAAATTTTGCTTATGTCTACAAAAGAAGAGGTTAGTCATTTAAATATGTGCTTAAATTTAAAATTAGAAAACATATGTGCTTAAATTTAAAATTAGATAAGATATTTCTTGTGAATAACTATATTTCATAATATACTTCTCTTTATTATTTCTCGCATATTTACATCATTATTCAATTATTTACATCATATTTAAATAATTTTAATATTTATCATGTCATTTGATTTAAGCTCATTTGAACCTTTGAACTTTAAACCACTCCTTTTGATTCAATGTTTGGTCTAATTTTTCAGAATCTTGCTTTCATAGCACTACAAATAATATTGGCACCTCTAGTACCATTAATCCCCCACTAATATTATCAAACTCTATTTGAAAAAAAAAAAACTTTAAACTAATTATAATCATGCATTTCATTAGTAAACAAAGGACTTGTTATATCATCATGATCATTATCCTTATGCCAACTATTAGTGTTGGCCTTATGAATTTTCATTTACCATTTGTTTATGTTAATTAATGCCAACCCAAATAGTTGGGATAATGCTTTCTTCCTACTCCTTGAATGCCAATTCAATGTACCTACCTCATAGTTCATTTCTTATGTCCATTCCACAGGATTTTATTTTCCACTATCTTATATTTAAGTTTAAGGAAATGCTATTCCAGTTTACTCTCGAATCATTCATCAATTTATCCTTCATAATTGTGTCTACATGCATTCTCATTTATGCACTACTATATTTGGCTACCAACAACATTTTAACTATCCAATAATCAGATCTATACAACATCGCAAACCTAACAACAAATTTATAGCATTTAACAATGAGTCTCCATGATCATTGCATGATACTCCTAAGCCACTTATAAGTTTTAAACGCCTAGCCTTAACTTTAAAAATCCTTATCCATAACACTTTTTTTACAACGCATCCAAGAAACTTGAGCCATTCTCCATTACTTACTACTCTATCTTAAAAAATATATATATATTGATTGAACTTAAAAACATCGCACATACTAAAATTATATAATCCCTAATCAACTTTTATTCATTTAATCCTTTTTTTAGCTTTTAAACTTTTCTCTCCAACCATCCACTTATTTTAGTACACATTTCCCCAATTAAAACGATTAATTAAAAAAAGAAGACATCTCAAATTAAATATCTTTTATAAATATATGCATCTCCATAAAAGTACTACAAAAGTGAAAAAGAAGCTGCATGCTATTAGTAGTAATCAGAGACATGATAAAACAAAAATGATCAACAATCAACAGAGCCTAAGGCAATCCTTCCTCATAGGCTGTTCTAGGATAGATAAAAATAGCTTCAACTTAGATAAGGATGATCTAGCGTTCCGGGTTACCTTACCAGTACTATCCTTTTTAGCATTCCAATCCACCTCAGCAGGCCCCCTCCTGGAACGTTGGCTCTTGCTCTCGACATCATCAGACCTCCCATGCCTGGAATCCTGAACTTTCTTGTCTTTCTCTACCACACGTTCTCTGTCCTTTTCCCTCTCTAAAGGGCGATCAATGTCCTTCTCTTTGTCGTCCCTATATTCTCTTCTGGCGTGCTCCTTTTCCGACCTCCTCTTCACTGAGTCAGTTCTGTTGCCACTCTCCACATAACTCTCAGTAGAACCCTCGCGCCTTCGACTAGACCTGCTCTTGGATTCAGCAGTCAAAAGCTTTGACTTCTCTACTTTCTCCAAATCCACATGCCCAAGAGTCTCCTCTTTAGAAACCTTCTCGGGCAACCCATTATCCTTGCCGCTGCCATTCCACCTATCAGGTGTAGCAGAGTCCTCCTCTCTCTCTTTCCTTTTCCTGCCTGATGAGAAATCTCCATTTTCAGAGCTACCCTTGTCCTTCTTTATAAACGCCTGTGGCGAAGAAGAAGCCTTCCTCTTCTCCGCCTCCACATTCCTCGAAACCCTAGCCCCAGAACCAGGGCCAGCTTCCACCAATCTCAACTTACGATTCCTCGAACTCCCATCATCCTCAGATTCGGAACGCTCCGTCGCATCCCGGCTATTATGCTTATGAGACCGGTGCGATTTGTGGCGAGAACTCCTCGGCATGTTGACAACGCCACCAAACCCTAATTCCCAAATCCGCGAATCAAATCCAAAAGGAGCAACCAAAACAAACAAGCCAGTCCACCTCCCAAAAACCACAATCCTCCAACTTTCGCCGCCTAAATCCTACGGAATCTGACCCGTCACCGGCGAAGCTCCCGCTTGAATCCCCGCCGCAGCCAGAAAATAAAAATTGCAGCTTTGGGAACCAAGAATAACACATAAATCTGAAGAAAAACGCTCCAATTAATAATTACCAGATACTCAAAAATCGAAGACGAAGAACACAATGGCAGATTGAGAGGAAAAGTAGCGAGGTAAGGGAGAGTTGATGGCAGAGAAATTCCGGAGCTGGGGAGGCTGCGGAGGACCGACGGGATTTATTTTCCTTTAGTTTATCAATTACGAAAATTGGAAAATTATGTTAATTTGTGACGGAATAACCCTCTAGAGTATTGGTCGGAAGGCTATAACATTAGGGCTATTTGTGGGAATTCAGGTTTCGTTAGTTACGAACCATCCTATTTATAGGGTCAAAGAATTTAGGGTTTAGGGCCGGCCGGCCCAGATCCGATGACCCAAAAACAAAAGCTATATTTGAGCATATTCAACGGCAAATTATTGAGTTGAGAGATCAAATGGCTTGAAATGATGGCGCGTGGATTAGTGCACGCTTTTTATCCGGATTCGATAAGTGTTTGATTTGATGTATTATGATGCGATTGAGCTAAAGATAAAAATTAGAAGGATACTCTGTAAATTTTATATTAGGGGGTTTTACATACATACAGGGGCGGAGCCACGGTGGGGGCACTGGGGGCATGTGCCCCCACTGGCCCGCCAGAAATTATATGAGAGCCACACAAATAGCAATCAGCTAAACGAGTTTGGATCTGCAGCGAAGGCTATCAGTCAGTGGCGGAGCCAGAAATTTTGTTCAGGGGGGGCCTAACGAAAGCAGTGCTCAAAGTTGTAACTCGTGTCCCAAGAGAGGAGTAAAGGGAAAAACAAACCATTGATGTTTTTCATGTGTCCAGAAAAAAATATTGGTGGCTTCTCTGGATTAATAAATAACTTTAAAAGGAAGAATTACAAAAATTTGAGCAGATTTTCTCATTGGCGAACTTGTTGCTCTATTAAGCCACTAAAACAATCAGCTTTAAGCCCCTTTAGGCTTTGAATTTTAGCTTTAGTATGGAAGCGGAGAAAAGAGCTGAATATACACAATATTGATTTGGTTTGGTGCACTATCATGAGTACGCGACCGCAGCATTTCCATTGCGCAAAAAGAGCGAGGAAAAACTAAACCCTTCACAGTAATTCATTAGATCATTAGCGGTGAAAAAATAATTAAATAATTGGATGATAATTTAATATTAAATAATTATTATTAGATAATGAATAATTAATTAATGATAAAAGTTTCAATAAAATCATATTTAAATAGCTAAATATTTTAAATAATAATTAAGCATCAAAATCTCTTTTCATCATTTTGTCACCTTCTACAACAAACAATTCACACTCATTATTGAAGTTCTCTGCTCGAGGTCCTTCACCGTCACCTTTCAGCTGAGCTCATCTACACCGTCCAAGCCGTCTTGCTTCAGGACTTTTACTAATGTTAAAAGCTAAGGCTATATATATATAAACAAAATCATTATTATTAATTTTAATTGTTCAAATAAATAAATTAGGGATGACAAGGAAAACTATAGACCTATAACTTCAAACATCAATAAAATTGGTAATTAATTATATTTTTGAATAATCACTTGAATTTTATTATTAATTATTAGTAAATGGGAAATTATGGGGTGCTTTTAAAGAGTTGATTTTAATGCTATAAGTAGCATGAATTGAGGGCGATAAAATGCACATATCCATGAATTGAGGGTGATAAAATGCACATATCAAATATAATTGATTGAAGGGTGGGAGAAGCAGTAGAAAATGAACTTTGGGGAGTAGTTCAATTTTTTTTAAAAAAATCAGTGTATAATTTTTTTTTTTTTCTAACTATTTTACTTATAAACAGATCGAAAGTAATTTTAAAATCACTAATTTGTGCCCCCACTAAAAAAAATTTCTGGCTCCGCCCCTGCATACATATCACTTTATTTTATGCTATTTACGTATCTAATATTTAAAACATTAATATTACATGACTACCACCCATAGAACAATTTTAGGTGCATTGAATGAAATATTAAAGTTTATAGGATTGTATGAATGGCAGAAAATGAATCATAAAAATGGTATATTTGATATTAAAGTTGTATATGAGTGGTAGGCATGTAATATTAATATTTTGGATGTTAAATATGTAAATAACATAAAATAAAGTGCTATATATGTAAATTTTCCTTTATATTAAGATAATTTAAACAATTTTAAATTTATATTTTAGATTAATTATACTTCCAACGAAAATAATAATAATTTTCTCAACAAAGTTACAACAAAACAAACAACACTACGTATTTTAAATATATTGTATTTATTTTACATTATCCTTTAAATACACATGTATTCTAAATAATTACAAAAACAATTATTTGGCTGCAAATATTTAAGATTTGTATGCGGATGCAATGTAAAGTAAACCCAATGTATTTTGTTTTCTCAAAATAGTGAATAGGAATAGGAATTAGTAATCAGCCAAAGCCATCTCTGCTTGCAGCCTCCTTGCTCGGTATCTTGTGTCTCACATCCATGTTGAACCCAAATGCCGTTCGGACACCAATAAAAATGCACCGCGTCACCCTTTTACTGTATCGCGGCTCGATACCGTGCTCGGTACCAAGGCTCAATACCACTCAGTACCGCGGCATCTGGATGTAGAGATGTGTACGACGTCCACACAGAATAATTTCTCCTTACTTAGCGTCCTGTGTCCTTCCTAGGCATTCCACATCACATGTTGCATCCCATGTTGTCATTATACATCTTCGTTACTAGCCTTTTGCAACCTTGTGATCTTAACTTCCTCATCAGCCTCAGAAAATGCTTGCAGGCTAGGATGTTTTACCCTATCTTTATTTAAAAAATTTTAGAGAATAGTTTAATGCCATATATCTATGTAAAATATGTATTAATATAAAAGTTTTAGATTAATTATACCTCCAACAACAACATCAAATATTTATCCCATGTAATTATCCAACTATGTGGAGCTACATAAAAATTTTTCTCTATTTTATCTTCTTAAGAGTCAAATTCTCATTTAAATATAATAAAATTGTTATTTCTAATATTTTTAATCTTCTCTTTTTTAGGTACACCTTTACCTCTCTTAATATAGACCAAATCTAATTTATTATATATACCTCCAACAAAAAATAATATTTTTTTCCATAAATTTATGACAAACCAAACAACCCTGAAATTCTACATGCATTGTAATTAGGTTAATTATGTTACATTTTGAATCTGCATGTATTCTAAATATATGCAATAAACAATTGTATGTTTGTAAATTTTTAAGATTTTTATGTAGATGCAATGTAAATTAAACACACTATATTTTATTTGCTCAAGTTCATTTGGTTGGTTGAAAATAAAATATATTAATTTATCTAAGGTACGATAAGGATATTGGTTTGATTTAGGTTTTATGAGCTCAGGTTGTAGAAGGTTATATCTGTGGTAAGCAATTTTTTAGGCATAATCGGTTATAATAGAAAAAATTTTAAATAATTTTTTCGTATTTATGCACCTCTGACAAGACTGACTCAAAAGTTAGTAGCTTTTACCTAGACATCTGATTGTAAGGCTAGCTTTTAGAAGCTAAATGATTGTTTGACTTTTGTTCTAGTTCTAACTCTTCCATATGTTATAGAAGAATTTCATATATCCAATGATGTTTTATAGAAGGGACTGGAATGTGTTATGATGTAGCACGAGAAAGCTATAGCTTATGCTTCCATGTAGCTGAAGCCATATGAGAGAAATTATTGAACACATGATTCATAACTTGTTGATGTTATATCAAATTATTGAAATTCTATAGACACTATCTATATTATATCAAATGTGAGATATTTACTAACAATTAGAGTCTAAAATAGATATTTACTCAGAAGAATTTAAATTTGAGGCAAAAGAGATCTCTTAAGCTGATTAAAAATTATGATTTGACTATTCACTATCAGTTTGATAAGACTAGTGTAGTAGCAAATTCTCTAAGTAGGAAATCTTTTGGATTATCATGTATTCAACTTACTTATGATGACTCTTTGAGACGGGATATGGAAAAACTTCAATTGGAGGTGATTATTCATGTTAATCATGATTCTAGTATTAAGGCTCATATGATCATTCAACCGTCTCTACAAAAAAGGATTAATTTTTTTTAACTAATTAATTAGATTAAGTAGGGTAAGAAAACTAAACTATGAGTATTTGATTCTGATGTTATATTCTACAAGAGCATCTTATGGTTTCTTATTCTTGAAAATCTGAGGCGAGAAATTTTGCATAATGGTCATTATTCATGTTACACTATTTATCCTAAAAGCAGTAAAATTTATGACGATTAGACATGCATATTTTAGTGGCATGTATTAAAAAATGATATGACATATTTTATTTTTAAATGTGAAGTCCGTTAGTTAGTGAAAATAGAACATCAACGACAATATATTTTCTGCAACCCCTGCTCATTACAAAGTGGAAATGGAAAGAGGTGATCATTATGGACTTCGCTATGGGTTTTCACAAGTTGAGATGAGGGCATAATTCCATTTGGGTCATGATAGACTATCTAGAAAATATGCTTATGTAACATAAGCGTATGTACGTGAGATCATTTGGTCACATGGGATACCAAAGGTGATCATTTCTGATAGAGATGACATGTTTAATTTTTGATTATGAAAGAGTATTAAGAAATGTGTGGGCAAAAAAATGCATTTAAGTATGACTTTTTATTTGCAGACTATCAGACATTTTAACAAGGTTATTGAGATATTGGAAGATCTTATGAGATTATATGTTTTGAACTTTAGTAGCAGTTATGAATATCACATTCATTTGACCGAATTTGCTTACAATAATAGTTTTTGATCAAGTATATGCATTGCCCCTTATTAAGCTATATCAAGTAGGAGGTGTGGAACCTATGTCTTGGACAGAGGTGGGTGAAAGAAATTTGGTTGGTTAGCTTTTATTAATGATGTTAATGAAAAAATTTGTTTGATCAAAGATAGATTAAAAATTGTACATGATAGGCAAAAATAGTATTACAATGCTAAACATTGGGCTATGGAATTCCAGGTTGGATATTTCTTATATATGAAAACTAGGTCGATAAAAGGAAACAACATATTTGACAAAGAATGATAGCTGAGTTCAATGTATGTTGGACTATTTGAAGTCAATAAAAAAGATAAAAAAATTACTTACAAATTACAATTAGCATATCATATGATTGACATTCATAATGTATTTCATATCTTTTATGAGGAAATGGATATCTGATTCTGGAAATCGTCTGTCTATAGAAAAAATGAGATACATCCCAATTTTAGCTATAGAGAAGAGCCAAAGAGAATTCTAGCCTGTGATTTTAGGAAATTAAGAAACAAATGGATTCTAATGGTTAAAGTTTAGTGGAGGAACACAATAGAAAGAGAAGCTATATGAGAGAAAGAATTTAAAATGAAGCACTTGTTTCCTAAATGAAATAAGAGAAGGGGAAGGAAGGACAAGAGAGGAAAGAGAAAGTTGAGTTTTGACGATTAGTTGAGTTTTGACGATTAGTTCGTTTTACAATTTTTTAAGATTTTGAGTTATACCATTTGATTCCTCCCAAAATAATTTTTATGGAATTTTCTCCATATTTCATGACTTCCATAGTACAACTTTTAGTATATTAATTATAGTATTGATTATTCTAATTATCTTGACTAATTGATTTCATAATTTTATTGGTTAAAAATATAGTATTATATTTTATATCATTTAATAAGAATAGTGATTTTAACTTTTTAATCTTGCTATCTTGTTATTACAAGCATAATGAATGAAAATTTGTATGCGATTACGTGATAGTTGGTCGATATTGCTTATATAATATAAAATAATAATGTGTGTGAAAATAAATAAAGGTTGTTTACTCACTACATTGACTGGAGACTGAAGGACCTGTACATAATGCTGGGCTGACGGGCTTATATATTAAATACTATTGTTTGATGTTATTTTAAACTGATTCATGTGATTTACTAATTGAGAGTCATAAGGATATTATTATGTTGCCAATGGGTAAAGAGTAACGAATTTGCTTACTAAGCTAATGGTTATTAATTACTAAAAAAAATTGTTTAAGCCAATACTATTTGCTTATTTAGTGTGATTACTAGGATGCATTATTAATTTACTATCATTGTACATAGTTACTTTATCATATTGTTTTACTATTTCTACTACAAATTTTATTGATAGTGATATTATTACTAATATGTTGTCATTGTTACATGTCTATTACAACTAATCCACAATTACTATTATTGTTATTAAACTACTATTTATTCTTATTGAGCATGTGATTCCTATTAGATATAAAACTTTGATTACATGTTGATATAGAGAACATCACGTGTATATGTATTTGATAGTACTACATTGTTATGGATTCTAACAGTCTTCATAGAAGTTTTGATCTGATTGATTTATATGATTTTCTTATTTATTGGATAATATGCTATTATGTATGACTAACCTCCATGTTATCGATTTTATTATTTCCGTATTGCACTATTTTACCGACCTCCATTCCGTATTGGTTTACTAGTTCATATATTTTATCACATAGTATGTGCTTTACTATTTTTGCATAGATTCATGATCATGTTGACTATTGCTATTATGACCTATGTGATTACATGCATATTGTGTCCTCACCATGCTTTGAGTTCAATTGTATAATTGTAGTGACCTACATAGTTTTTTAGCTCATTATATATGATCTAAATAATTTTAGGTCTGAGAAAAGGATTGAGAATGTGAAATTGATTAGTTACAAGATTCCTTAGGTTTTAATGTTGCTTTAAATTTTTTTTTCTTTAGATATTTATTTATAATCAAGAGTGGGCAGATTGTGTATTGAAAATTGTATGACTCCTGATTATTTATACATGATTTTTTGGATAGTGGTTACATATGTATATTAATGTTTTAATCAACAAATTTTTCTTCCACAAATATTTTATTATTGAAAAAAATTAAATAGCTTTGATTGTTATATAAAAGATAAAATATATATTTCTTTCTAATTTTGATTATAGGGCGTAATAGCGGGCCCCTTCAAACAAACTGTTTAGAAAGAGTTCTCCTTCTACATGAACTGAATATAAACTACAAGATACCTGCGATAGGGTACTTGTACAAGCAGTTATGGGTAGGGGTGTCAATTATTGACACGACCCAAAAATCTGATCCGAAGTAGACCAAAAAAATATGATTTGAGTCGACCTGTTAACAAGCAAGTCAAGTTCAAGTCCTAATTCCTGACTTGTTTGAAAAATAGGGTTGTGACTAAGTCAACATGCTAACAAAAAAATGACCTGAATTTGATCCCCAGTCCCGCACCACATCACGCTTGCCTACCTCACCCCATGGCATACACAAGCGTTGGAAGCTTTACACCAGCTCTTGTGCAGTTGTGCATGCCCCCTTGCTGCTCGTGGTTGCACCCTCACTAGCGCTTACGTTAGCCCCCACAACTTGCGCTTGACGCTCGCCTGCTGCCTTGTTTGTGCATACGAACTAGTAGTTCGGGTCTGATCAACTCCTGTTAGGGGTGGGTCAGGCTTGGGACTAGATTAATTTTAAGTCAAAATAGAATTAATTCATCATTTATAGTGTAAAAAGTAACTTAAAAATGCTATGTAATACATAATTTTTATTCAAAAAGTTAGTAGTTAGTTTAGTGCTAAGACTTATATAAGATTTTCTATTTTTAATAAATAGAAAATATTTATTTCCAAATTTACAAAATTTATCTATTTTGTGCTTTGCGTCATCTACAATTTTACATGCATATCCATAAATTTTTTTATATTAAATATATCTAATATAAAAGTTTTACTATTTAAATTATATTTAAAATATCTTTAATATTAATTTATTTAAAATAAAATATTGTATGCATATTTTTATATCTATATAAAAATTTGGATGTGAGTAGGATAGTCTCAACTTCTCCGCGGGCAAACGTACCCAAGCTACAAACGAGTAGACGAGGACTCGAGCGAGGGCATAGCGACCGCAGCGCCTTGATCGAACGCCGTGCCGATGATCGAATGCGCTTCAATCCTTGGACGATGGATAAGTTGAGGAGATTTCAGCAATCTCTTCTAGGCGGGGAAGAGGATCCTGAAGACGATTTTTTGGTCGAATCCAGTGGTTACTTGTCGCTTTCTCCTCTTCAGGTCATTCGATCCCTTATTTTTTCGTGGAAGGAGACTATTTGAATTGTTCCTCGCGGGTTTATTTTTATGGCTCACGGTTTCTTTTATTGCAAGTTGTAAGCTTGCCAAGCAGTTTGATTTGCTATTTTTGAACAGAAATTGTACGCCTTTGCTATCTGCTTGGTCGCTGGGTTGGCCTTTATGCTACTGGTATGGGAGAATTTTCAATCTTCATTAAGAAAAAAATGTAATTAGCTTTCTGAGTATTGTTAGTTTAAATACCATATATTAAGAAAAAATGTCAAATAATCTTTGCTAAAATTTCTAATTTTGGCATGTGGAATAAGTAATATCCACATTGATCTTTCTATCGCTAATTTATTTTGTAGTTTGCGGGCTTTGTTGATTTAATATGTTTAGTAATTAGAATACTATAGCTTTTGGTTTGAGTGTTTGCGCTAAATCAAAAATTTTCCAATAATTGAAGTCAAAATTACAACCAATAATCGAAGCCATACTTCATCAACCGAACAAAATCAACCAAGTAAGATCAGTTTTGTTTGATTTTTTAGTTTTATTTGTATAATGCAAACCCCTAGTAACAAGTGAGCTAAATAACTTCAAATGCAAGTGCCAACCAAGATAAAAAATAATATGTAGCAAATTGGTAGAAATAGATCAAATAAAATGAAAAAAGAGACGCTACTAATTGTGTTGTTTGATTTCAATCAAACTTATGTCCATAGCTGAGGAGAGATAGTCCAATCCACTAGACATAAAAACCACAATCATGGTGTACAAAATAAAAGAACTCATTGCTCTTCCACAATTCCTAAGTCTATCATAACTTAAACAATAAGAAATAGAATATCCTGAAATCTTACCCAAAATATTATCTCACGAGAAAGTCTTATTGATTTTGCATAAACCGTTGAAGTTACCAATCCTCCAGTAGACCTAGATTCAAGAGGTATGTGAAGAATAAAGAGATCTTTCATATTGCATCTTCTAATCCTTAAACCAAACACCAAATCTTATAGCTTCTTTTGCACCCCAACCAAGAAAACTAGAATCATGAGAAGGAAGTGTCATAGAAAATCGATCGAGAAGTGTGAATCTCAAGACTATAGAATAGCCAACCTAACACCAATCCCCAAGTCTCACTTCTATACATGCTCAATATGATTTCCTTTCCTATCATATTCAATCCAACATTTCTCTTCCTTGATAGTGTGGTGAAATTGGGTCTCTTTTTTGACTCCTGTTTAAGTGAACCATTATAAGCTTTTAAAACTTTAATAGCTCAACATCATGCAATCTCATTATGTTAAGATGATTCCTGAATGAGCACCTATAAGAGACCTTTGGTTCACCAATAGTAGTACACTTTGAAGTTTTAACATCAAACCTAAACATCCACGGCCATTGAAACTTTCATAGCCTTGTTTTGGTTCTCCTCCCCTTGACTATTGCAATGGTATGACTTTACAATGAGAGAGGCTGTGTTATGCAAATTTAATCCATCTGTTTATCTGAATTTTTTTCCTCATCTTGTGCATTAACTAGTTTTTCAGTATTTTATAATATTTTCTACAGCTTGGAAGCTTCCTCTCCTTTGCTTCTCCAAAATGCAAAACGTAGATGAAGAAATAGTTGAAGCATTCCTTTTTTTGACTCTTATGGCACTTATAATAACCAAACAACATGCAAACTTTGAGAATCTTAGTATTCTCAACTACTTTATTCTATAAATCATCCAAAGCACATCTAGATACAAAATTCTTTTTTAGTTTTGATACATATCTTAACTCAACCGAAATCTTAGATATAACATCATGTATCGTAATACAAATAATGCCAAGACCTTGAGTCTTACATATAGCATTATTCCCTTTATAAATGGTTCCTTTGCATGGCTTATCACTAGAAATAATATTTAATTTCAAAAATTTTAGAAAGAATATGCCCACTGATCATTATGCCTATAACCCACAGCTTTAAAGAGAACATCTCTATAATCTATATCAACTATGTTTGTTTATGCTGTGTTGTCCTCCTGATAGTTACTTTTTTGCTGCTACCTTTTCATTAATGTGATAATTTTTTTTTTGTTTTTGCCAACATACTTGCCTTTAAACATGGACCCATGTTCTTTTGACCTTCCCTTGACAAACAATCTTTTACCCCTTACCCTATTTTTCATCACCAACGCCCTTGAGTTTATAAATCACATTTTTTGGTGGAAGTGAGTGCTTTACATTGTCCAAGCTTATGATATCTTTCCCATATGGTATTTTGTTACTAAAGCACTTATAAAAAGAGTAGAAAACACAATAATAATAAAATTTCGTCCCTATGATCAACAATCACATTAATATTTATCAAATATGAATAATTGAACTAAATTGATTTACATGTGACTTGATTAATGTATTTTTTTGCATGCAAAGAAAATACTAACATTTCCTTCAAATATAAAAGTTTTTGGTTATAAACATTGACTCCATATTAAGCCATAAATCTTTTGCAGTGGATTTCTCCAAAGCATTCATCAAAACCTTGTTCATGAAATACAACTGGATTCTTTTAAATATATATTCATCTATTTATGTCTTTTAATCTTTCTTATCGCCATAATCTTAAAGGCTTTTTAAGTGCCTTCAAAAGAACTTGCTAAATCAGAATATCATGCATCTTGACTTTTTCTAAATACCAATATTTTTTTTTTGCTTTTGAACTTCATGACAAAAAGACAATATGATTTGCATGGTTCAACTTATTGCAATGAGTGTGCATGATGTGCTCCGAGCCAACACAAAGAGATCAAATAAACATAAACAAAGACATTATAAGATTTACATGGTTCAACTTTAACCAAGCTTACATTCATGAGGGATGAGAGAGAATTTGATTTATTAGAATCATAAGAGCCTAAATTTTGGTATATAGAGTACTCACCAAAACATAACCTAACTGTAGGTTTTACAAAACTTCTTAAAGCATACAATCTCTAGCAAAATACCCAAAACAGCCCTCTAATTGACTTTCCCTTTTAAACCGCCCCCTCTCTTCATTAAGCCATGGGCCCCACCCTAAGGGAGAATGAGTGGCTGTTGGGTGGACCATGCTTCCGCTTGGAGTAAACATATTCCGGTCCCTCCTGGACCGGTCTAACACAAGAGTGAACTCCAAATTGCTTTTGCTAGACCCTAGATTGAGCATCTCAGCTTATATCCTTCTTTGTATACCACTTAAGGAAACCTAAACCCCAGCTCTATGCCCAATTTTTGATTTCTATGCATGCATAATATATTAAAGGGAATATTCCTTGCCTTGAAGAGTCTATAACAAATCTTATTTCCTTTAGATTTAACTCCAAATTAAAGTCTCAGAATCATTATATTTATGGTGTTACTTTTTGACCAGCCATTTTCCTTAATTTGAGATCCTAAAAAATAAAATGAGAGAGATGAATGTTACAAAACAGTTATGGTGATATTATTAGTAGAATTCAAGTTCAATGGTTGAAGCGGAGGGATGTATCGAGCCTGTTGTGTGATAGATAAATACCCCTCAAACTTAAGGAAAAATTTCTATAAGATGGTCGTGAGACCTGCAATGCTTTATGGCGCAAAATGGTAGCCATTAAAAGATAAGCATAAAATTAAGTTTTGCAGAGATGAGGATGCTCAGGTGGATGAGTGACTTTACTGTTAGAGACATAATACAAAATCAATATATAAATGAAAATGTTGGAGTAGCTCTAGTGGTAGATAAGATCAAAGAGAGTTGTCTTAGATGGTTTCGTCACATAAAATGTCGGCCTTCCGTTGACCCGGTTAGGAGAATAGATGTATTAAATTTAGCCTATATTAAGAACGGTAGAGGTTGACCTAAAAGATTTGGTTAAAAGTATTTGAAATGATCTTTTTTATTAGATTTATATGAGAATTTGGTTCTTAGCACAACACAATATAGAAAAAAGGTTCATGTTGTCATCCCCACGTAATGGGATGAAGGCATGATGTTATTGTTGTTATTGTTATTGTAAGATAGTAAATAGACAACATGCTTACAAAAATATATTAGTCATATAAAGCATCTTAGATGGAAGGCATTGGAAGTATGGACAAAGTCCTTTCCATAAATAGAAGAGGGGGAACCATCAACAACAATGATGGTGGGTGGAGAATACATGGGAAAAAAAGAGAATTGTTCATCGTTATTTGTCATATAGGAAGAAGCATTTGAATATAAAACTTAGAATTTAACGATAGAGATAATTGCATTGGATCAAGAGGAAGAGGCTACATGAGAGGCTGAAGCAAATGTTTGCAATGTTGAAGCAATTATTCATTATTTTTGAGATATGGTAATGGTTGAAGAGAAGAAAGCACCAAATAGTACTTGAAGCTACACCGGTTGTGGAAGCATGTTGGGTATGGAGAGATAACCAAACTTTTTCTAGCAATGTTCAAGAGGATGATTGGTTTGACTACAATGAAGCTAGGGAGAAAAGGCAGTGCATCAACGAACATAGTGACACAAGTCTAAACACTATGTCGATAAATCTTACAGCCACTTCCTAGAGTCAACGACAAAGATTGACCACTTAGGAGTCCTTGGTTGAGAGCTTAGTGACGTGAATAGCTTGAGAGTTGGTCATCGCAATGTTAGGAACCGTGAATTTGGCCATTTGAGATTGAACACCGTGGAGGATAGAATGTAGGCCGAAAATAAATTTGGTGAAAAGAAATTCTTTGTTTTGCTTATCTCAAACAGTAAAATTAATAGTGAAGGGGCATCATTGAGATGTCACGTCTTATTTTTGTCTCAATTTGTTTATCATTTTGCTGAAAATATTAGAATAGAGAATGTGGATACTAGAGAGATTACTTTCTTAATAGTAGGTGGAATAAAGAAAATCTTTTATCATCTTGGCAGAATCTTGAAGCATGACAGTCAAGGTAATGGGGGGTTCAAATATTATTTAGTAGCTAGGTAAGAATACCATAACAGGGCATTTACCACTTGAAAAGTTCACCATGTCATGGCAATCTAGAGGAGAAGAATAAGGTAATAAAGCATTTCATGAGAACTATAAAGAAGGTGAAAGTTCTCGGCTATACGAGGCCTTTAAGTCTTTGAGGAGGTTAGGTGGCCATACCATTGTGATAGAGATAGTCAAAAAATTTAAGTGTTAACTTAAATTATTAAGGAGTCACAATTGATGAAGAGAGCAGGCATGCCCAAGGGATTAGATGAATGTGACGTATGAAGTAGGCGTGTTAGCATCAAGAAAGTGGCTATGTAAAACAACATGGGGCGAGCAATGCATTGGTGTGACATGCGTGAGGGTGAAACATGGCCGCGTGTAGGTATAACAAAATGCCCAAATGTATGGGTGTAGCCATACATGTAGAGTGAGAGAGGGTATCCTTGCTCTAATGCCATCTAAGAGGAGAGAGCTCTTTAGTGTCTTATTCCTTAGAGGACCTTCATATTTATAATAAAGGAGCTAGTACAATGTTCTAAGTTGGAATCAAATTAATATACATCACTTGCCAAATACTGAGTACTTTCACAATTTAATATTTTGTTGCGTTAATACTTCTTGGTATTGATCATGGAATTTGGATGTTACACTTTCTAAATAGCTTACAGGTAATATTCATGGTTAACGGAAAGAGTAGCTATCTTTTATTTTATTTTTTTAATTTGCTCTACTGTCAAAGTGATAGTGGTTCATCTCTTATGCTGCCAACATCTTGCATCTTAGAAGCATAATACACACTGAGATTTTATAATTATTTTTGTTGGACTTACCAGAGCAATTTGGTTTTATTAATGGGGTCCTTTTCAACAACAAATGATAACAAATAGGAGATCTGATTGCTTTTTTTATTCATTCGTCTTGCTTTCCTATTGCCTTATTGCGTTATACTTATGCTGCTCACAACCTCATTACTTTTTTTGGCAGTCACTTATTGTTTTTGCCAGACCTATAAAATTTGCAGTTATGTTCAGCTTTGGGAACCTACTAGCAATAGGAAGGTGGGTTTATAGTCTCTAACCCTTTAACTATGGACCAACTATGCTATACAAAAGTTATGAAAATCTTATTTTTTCGGTAAAAAGTGTCCTTAAATTTTTTTCACCTTCACTTCTGAAGTAGCCCTTTTGTTATGCCCTTTTTTCTTTGTAGTACTTTAGTTACTGAACTATAAACTTGAAATATTTGGCAGCACAGCCTTCCTTATAGGTCCAATTCAACAAACAAGAATGATGCTTGATCCAGTCCGCATCTATGCAACTTTTGTTTACATCATCACTGTCATTCTTGCACTTTTCTGTGCTCTATTGGTATGTTTTTTGAACAAATAATCTCAAAATCTGTTGAATTTTTCCATCATGAATCGCTTAACTTAAAACTTTATTGATGAAATAGTAATTTACTCCTTTTACATGTGCAGATCCATAACAAGGTCTTAACACTAATTGCAATGCTTATTGAGATTTGTGCTCTAATATGGTAAGCCTTTTTATCTTTAGTGTGTTCTTCTCGTGATAATTTATCATCTTGAAAATTTTCAGAATATTCTAAGGACAACTTCTAAGTTATAACTAATTATAAAGCAAAAGCAAATCAAAAGGGTTCCTCAACACCAGTCCTACTTTATGAAATTAAGGCTTTGTTTGGGACAACTATCTAAAAATTTTTTCACTAAAAAATAATTTTAGAAAGTAGAAAGAAAGTTGTCCCAAATGAGGCCTAAATGAAACTATTGGTCTATCGCTTTGAAAGGCAGACCATAAAGGAGGTGAAAATTGTGGTAACAATAAATGTAGACATAAAATGCATATTTTCAGCGGGACTTCATCCTTGTTATCTGACCAACTCATTAGCAATCCCAACAAAGCAGATCTTTACTACATTTATACGGATTCCGCTGATCATGTACATTTTAAAATACCGTTACTGTTTGAATCCGTCAAGAGTCATATGTAGGATTGCTAATGTACTTTTCCTCATATTAGAGAATGAAGCATTCCCAAGAGAAGGTTAGGCTTGAGCGCTGATGCGGAGCAGGTCTTAGAGCTGAAAACAACGAAACAAACACTCCAATAGATTAAATCTAATTTTATCACCGAGAATGAAAAAGAATAGATAACAGGAAAGAAGATCAATGTAAAAAAGAATACAATTTCATACAATTCGACCCAATTGATAGCTTTGTCTTATAAATGTTAAAATAGATTGTCTATAATTTGATTGTTGTGAATTACAATACTAATTCTGTTGTTGGTAGCCTATGATGCACGGACACTTCTCCTCAAAGCGACGTGCAGTGTCCGACACCGTGTTCGACACGACACTCCTCCGACACATGTCGGACACGCCGAAAACGTGTCTGATTAAAAAAATATTAAAAACAAATTGGACGCGCGTGTCCGACATGCATATCTTAAATATTTTATATTTTTTTTAAAATATAATTTCTTATATTTGGCGAGATTTAAACTAAATTTCTTATTTCCTATCCACAACACCAAATCAACGTCTGCATTTAATACCCATTCATCGAATATTCTCATTTTCATTTCTCTTTGACAGTGAAGGTATTTTCATCTCCTCTCTTTTTGCACAATTACAAATCTTTCTTTTGTTGAACCAGAATTGAAAGCAGTGATATTCAATGATGATGATATTGAATGCCAAAAACAAACCTCTAAAGCTAATCATAGTAGTTGAAGCTTAAATGTTTGATGTTGTAGTAAGTGATTATTTGCTTATATTTTTGTCGTTGTACTAGATATTTTGTACTAAATATTTTATATTATAAGCTAGACAAGTTATCATGTCATTCATTTATTATTGTTTGTCATTTTTAATATGATATATATATATGTATTGTCGTGTCCGCGCCGTACCCGTGTCCTATATTTTCAAAAAAAGCCGTGTCCGTGTCGTGTCGTGTCGTGTCCGTGTCGCCCTGTCCGTGTCCTTCTCTCAAGCTTTCAGAAAATCAATGCATTTGTTATGGGATGAAAAATTTAAGATTTTTTTTTGTCTTATTACATTTTTGTTTAAGAACCAAAAATCGATATGCTTTGATTTTATTTCAGGTACAGTCTAAGTTACATTCCTTTCGCTCGAAGAATGATTTCTGAGTTGCTCATTAGTTGCTTTGACACAGATTTAAGCTGAGATTCTGCATGTTAAAGACTAATAAAGAATTATGTCCTGTTTAGCTTGACAGAAATGGCTTCTAAGTGCTAATCATTTTTTATTGAAGGATTGCTAGAGGTCTAGCTATCTGCTCTTCCCTTCGCTTCAGAAAAGGGATGTTTACTCTGTTTATAGAACTCTTGGTTTGCGAATGTGAATTTTGTCTTCTTAGGGATATTATTAGCCGACACATGTAATGAGATGAAGACTTGATGTTATCCTTGTTAAGGATGTTATTGTCATTGGAGTCCTATTTTATGGTAATAAATTGTGATTGTGGCCAGCCATGTTATGTGTAGAATCTGATTATGTTGATCAATCGGGTTGCCCTATTGCCTCGGGGGTGGTTTAACCCCCGCTTGGAAAAAATTTCTCTTGTACAACGCCTCTGTGCTGTGTATCCGAGTGACTCAGCGCCGATCAACAGAGCGCAAAGCACCAAAGCACTCTGGATTTGGCGCAACAATGCTATAAGTTTGGCGCCTCAACGATGCGAGTTTGAACGCCGCATCGTCATCAGACAAAGGCTTGAGTGCCACAACGTTATTAGACGAACTTGACAATTTTTTTTTTCTTGTTTTTCTGAAGAGTTGCGCCCCTTGGAGTTATTTATTTGGTTTTCTCTTATATTTTTGAAATGTAGACATTGAGAATGGTGCATGTGAGAAAAGAAGCAAGGAAAGAGTGAGAGAGAAGAGATATTTGTATTTATTTCTTCCAATTTTCATAGTGGATTTCTTGATGTGATGTGGCTCAGTAGTTTTTTTCACATTAAATTCTAGTGTCCTCTATTTTTCTGCTGCTTTTACATTCTTGCTTGTTTGGTCATTGTGATTTTTACCCTTCATCCCTAACAAGCCATGATGTATCTTCTATGGTTGAAATGTATCATAACTCCTTAATATTGAATGCAAGAAATTCATTTGTCAACTATTTATTTGCTGTAGACTGCCTGCATTTTCCCTGAAGCGTGGATGGCTGGCTATTTTTGATATGAGAAATTTGAATGTTCTACTACAAAGTGGTGCAATGAAATGATAAAATTCTCAATGTGCTACAAGCTTCTCTTTATTTTGATATTGTTATTGACTCACATGCTCTCAGTCTTTTTTTTTTTTAATATTTTTTTGTTATGCACAAGAAGCTGGTTTGAATTTTTCTATAATATCTGTCAAATATCTATTGAGAGAGAGAGAGAGAGGCAATAGAGAGTTCATTAATTTAATGGTTCAATCAAAAGAAAGAGAATTAGGTTTTGTTTGGAACAGTTTTTTATAACAATAATTTAATATAAAATTGTTTAAAAAAATAGTAACAAAATAATGGTTAAAAGATGACCCAAAGGAAGTCCTAAAATCTTTGCAATCTATCATCATAAATTTCTCAGCCCGCAATAAACACATAACATTACTTATAGTTAGAGTATAATTATCCTAATTTTTTATTTCTTTGCTTTCAAATCACTACTACACATTTATTTAGAATTTCTAACATAAAAAGTTATTTTTTTATAATAAGAAATTTTATAATGTGAGTATCTCTACAAAGTTATATATATAAATAATTTTAAAATACTAATTTTCCCAATAGTAATTCTATAGCTACCTTAAAAAAAATTATACTCGCCACAAAAGGGGGATTCAAACAAACACCCTACTACACATCAAGACAATATGGTTCAAATAATGAAAAATTAAAGTTTCGTTTGGGATAGCTTTTTATCTGCTTTGTAAAACAATTTTTTCTGCAAAAATTTTAATTTAAAAAATTTTTATACTAAAAAAATACTTTAAAAAGCAATAAAAAAACTGTCACAAATGAAATCTAAACCTTTTATAAGAATCCAAACCATTAATTTCAAAATTTTCTTACATATAAGTAAATTAAGTTCTCAATAAAATAATTAAGCATGTTAATCTATTTTTAATGACGTGTCCATTTGGACTGTTTGATTTGGTCTTCAAAGGACTTGCAAATTGACGGACGAAATTAATTAAAAAAAAACACACAATATTGTCAAGTTCCAACATTAGTTTAATTAAAATGAAAGACTTGCATGCTGCATGCTTGCATTAAAAAAATAAAAAATAATAATTTAAAACGTTGTCTTAATCCCAACAAAGTTTATGAAGGGCCAAAGTTCACACAGTGTTTTATTATTATTATTATTATTATTATTTTTTATTTGAAAAATAATAATTATAATTTCATTTGACTATTATTTTTTATAATTTTCAAAAAACTATATAGTAAAAATATATTTTTTGTAATAAGAAATAACAAAGTTATTTTTTCTATAGTAATTCCCAGTTAATTTTATAAAACTCTATAGCTGTTGAGAAATTATTCTGTGCAGACGACGAAAAACGTCCGGATACTAACCAGAATGCGTCATATCACTCATTCGCTTAGTACCATGCCTCGGTACTGCTCGATTCCACGGCTCAATATCACTAACATGACGACACTTAGATTCACCTCCGAACATAAAGCTACATTCTCCGCACCTCATCCGCACAAAATAATTTGTCAGCATGTCAATTCCGTGTGAACTTGCATTCAGATAGCCGACAGTACATCTAAACAACTAAAAAATTTAAGAATATAATGTATATCTTCTCTGTATGATTGGCCCAACGTGGCAAACACGTACGTAATCCTGACCGTCAAAACTCCTTTGAACATCAAAGGCCTCCTTCGTAAATTACGCGCTTCAACCTTTATAAAAGAAGAGCCCTCTTCAGCTTTCTCTCATCAACCACTCCCACTAATCCTCAAACTAATTACCACAATTAGCACTAATCTCTTTCTTTCTTCACTCCATGGGAAATTCATTTGCTTGTTTTACTTCTCAGAAAGCCATGATCAGAAGCAAACACCACTCTGCTAAAGTCTGCGATGAATTACAGTATTCAGATTCAGAGCAGCCTTCATTGAACTCTCTGAACAATTTGAAGAAGAAGAAGAAGAAGGCTAAGTTGAAGAGAAATGATCATAAAGCTAACAGCAGAAGATTAAGCTCGACAGGAGATAATGATGATGGAGCAGTCAGAATCAAGATGGTTCTTACAAAGAAAGAGGCAGATCTTCTGTTATCAATGCTTAGAGAAAACGAAAGTATTGGAGGAGTTTCTTTTGATTTTTGTGGAGCTGTAAGAAGCCATGAGTGGAAGCCATCTTTGCAGCGTATAGAAGAGGAAGATGAGTTCTGTTGAGAATAATGAATTGTGTAGTTTGCTGTTTTAGAATCTGTCGTTCTATTCTTGAGATGCAGATTGATGCATATTGATTAAATTAACTTAGGAAGGGTGAGTTGGAAAAAAATTATATAGATAATGCTCAGATGTTTATAAGAGATGATTTCGCTGATTGGAACCCTTCATTTTTGGTTGGTGCAAATTGCGTTAAGGAGGTGAACTTGAAAAGTCCTTCCAACGAATTTTATACAAGAAAGATATCAAAATAATCTGTGAATTATGTAGGGATAGATATTTTAGTGTCTTATTTTATATAGAGTCTTCACTCTTTGCCTTTCGACACAGTAATAACTCCTTTTAACTTTCAATCGATTAGTATCATATGAATCAGTAGAGGATAACAATAAACCACAGTATTTAAAAGAAAGCTCGTCACCCCCCATTCTATATCTATTAATTAATCTCCATCCAAATCTGGTCGAACCAGCCAGAACCATTAGTTCAACCAGCTAACGGGTGAACAAGTCTCGATTCCATTGAAGGGACCTATTCAATTTTTGAATTATTTAAATAATTAAATAAATTAATCTAATATATTAAGAATAAAATATTAAGTAATATTTATATTTTATTAAATTATTTGTATTTAAAATACTTATATATAAATTTATATGTAAGCTAATTTTTTATGAAATTTGAATTAAATTTAAAGATGGAATATATTTAAATTTAAAATTAGATATAAGATATTATTAATGTGTGAATTTAAATTATTTTTTATTCAAAAAATTATATTATTATATGAATATTTTATCATTTAAATTTTACTCAAATAATTTTTTTATTTATTACACCATTCGGCTCAACCTAGTTGAATCACTGAACCCAAAGGCCTTAACCTCTCATTATTTTGGCTCTATGTACCGTTCTGATTTTCACAACCTTTATATTTTAGTTAATTTGACTAAAATTTCAAAGCACTTCATTGGACAAAACTCATATTTAAATATTTGGTCGTAGATCATTTATACAATATCTACTTGTCATACTGATCTCAGAATTGAATGATCTTAAGCTTGTTGAATTCGTGTCATCCAAACTCTTGATTAAAACATAAGCACTCCTAAATTCAATGATTTTTTTTCTTCCTCAATTACATATCATGAAATTTTTAACAATATTTCAAGTGCTTGATTTGTATCCATTTTGACTTGGATTATATAATTTTTTGTATCATTAAATTTGTTTTATCAAGACCTTTATTTCAAGTATAAATTTACTAAAATCAAAGTTCGGATGATCATGAATTTAATTTTGGAAGCTTTCAATTCAAATATTAATAGGAAAACTTTTTGATGACATCATATATGTACATAATTAGGCATGATATAAAAAATCTTATTTTGATTTTTTATTATAATAGTTTATATTATTCTTTCAACATTTTTTATTTAAAAATTTAATTTCGTTATTACCCAACCAAAAATAGATAATAAACGAACAATAATTTTAGCATGAAGAAAAGTTGCACATGGCTGTCACTTTCCAGTCTTGTTAAAAGGTCAAATTAGAAGACTGAAAACTCACCAAACAAAGAAAATTTAGTTGTTTAACAATAGATTGACAGATTTTCTGATAAGTTTATTGAAGTTTCTGGATGCTAAATCTGCAGATTTTCTGTTAAGTTTATTGAAATTCTGACTTCAAGACCTGCTAGCTGTTTTATTTATTTATTTATTTTCTGATGAGTAAGCATTGTCTTTAGGCCAGTGAAAACCCCGGTCGACCTAGCATGCAATCCACACCAATTTAGCTGTTTAAATCTCAGAACAACTTTTTTTATTAAAATAAATGCTCTTAGACTATAAAAACTTCCTAAATTTACATTGATGCATGACAGCAAAATGAAAATTTGAATACTGTCTCATGTTTTTGACTTCACATTCGTAAGAGTAACTGCTTTTCAGACAAAAGATATATTTAGGTTTTGTTTGAGATAGCTTTCTTATTATTTTTTAAACGAATTTTTTAGTACAAAAATTTCTAGAGTAGGATGCATTGAAGCCTGTAGTGTAGAGTAGGATACGGTC